TCACTTCTCTCTTTCCATGAATTCCCGTCTCCCACTCACTACCAGAAGCCAACACAACGCCGAGTCAGCGATGCCCATCTTCCGCTCCATAATGAGCGGGCTCAACCAGAAGATCTGTTTGCAAACAGGCATGCCTCCATCCCTCCCTCACCTGCTCTTTCCTTTTCCCTCAACTCTCTCTGCGCTCTGCCTCTTCCTCATTCCATCCCATCCCTCGCCCTGTCATTACATTTATGTGCTTCTCCTGAACCCACTCAATCCCTTGTATGCTGCCGCACATCGTCTTGCCACATGCTGCCGCATTACCATCCTTTCTTCCACAATACCACACACGAGAAAGGAATAACAGACCCTTGTTCAACCCATCACCTATTGTCACTAAAACTCTCTTGCCGTTGCTGTCATCCCATGCGATGCAGACGGTGGTGAGGAAACTATGGAACGTGGAGGAGATTGGAAGGGACTCACAAGAATTAATTTAACAAAAAATCTCCTATCCACAAACGCCTCTCTTACTGTTGTTGCCACCCAATGGCGTGCAGATGATGGTGAGGGAGCTAGGAACGTGGAGGAGATTGGAAGGGAGTTACAGGGATTCATGTAACACAATTTCTTATATCTCCACACGCCTCTTTGCCCCATACCATGCATGCGGTGGTGAGGGAGCTATGGAACGTGGAGGAGATGGATGTGTTGGCGCTGGCGCTACAAGGCAAGATGAGCATCAAGCGATTCAACCTCACGTGCATCCGACCATCTCAATGAATATAGGCCTGTTTCCTTATAGGCGCAACATGTTCATTGAGGCGGATGACCCTCCCACATGGGGGGATTCTTACTCAATACAGATATTTGTTGTACAAAGTGATTCTCCAAATGCAAGTACTAACCAAACAAAGTCCTCCCTGAAATGTAATGGAGGCCTGCGAGTACGGTACCGTGATCAAATGGATAGACCCTAGAGGCCTGAAATCAGCCTCTTCCCTTATTCCCTAAGAAATTAACATACCTTAAGTAGTGTACGCAGTTTTGGAATAACGAACAACAGGAGAATGAAATGCCTTGTATATATTTTCTGTTCGAGTATGTATTCTGTCCAAACGGGACAACAAACTTGACTCTGGACACCAAGTTGTAGCATAACGAATAAGCCTTAAAACAGATGCCTAGGTTTCTTCTTGATAAGCTTCCCGCCACCCCAAGACCTGCCCCATATCGCAATTCCCTGTGCCGCGATCCCAGCAACAGAGATACTATCGAGAAGTGACTACCTTCTCCTGGCAGCTCTCTATGGCCCTAGAACTTGCCAGTGCACTCGCGGTGTGGCGAACCTATCAGCGCCTCGATGAAGTCCCGAGGCACATCAGCGCGGTTAGGCACGGAAACGCATTTCAGCCTGATCAGTCATGTCCCCAGGCTGGGAGTAGGAGGTGTCAAACCGCAGTCTCATCATCTCTTCTGCGAGCTCTTGCTGACTCTGCTACACCGCTTGGACCGCTTTCCCGCAGCAGCGCTTCACCTTCCGTAGGAGCACAGCGTCACAACCATCAGCCTTAAGTTCGGCATTTCCGTGGTTCTTCCTCTGCATTCGTCTTCACTATCATTTCCTCGTCGGTACAGTGTCTCTAGTCTTCATCCGAGATGGAGACTCTTCCCGCCGACATGCTCTACGCCATTCTTCGCCGCGCCGAGCCGACGGGTCCTCGCCTCTTAGCGCGGATGGCGTGCGTCTCGAAGACATTCGACCGCATCGCCAAGGAGTCACTCTGGCAGTTGTTCTGCCGGGAGAGACTCTCCGAGCTCCATGAGGACCAACTCTCTCGCGATACAAGGGCAGCCCGCTTGACGGGCGATAATGACGAAGCAGCGTCACGCCATGGATTCCGCCGCTTGCTGGAAGGGATGCATAGCGTCGACTTTAGAGCACTCGCTCAACTCATCTACTGGCGCCGAGGCGTCGTAAGGGCATGGCGGCGTGCAGAGGACGAGGACGAGTGTGACAGTGACGATCCGCGCATACGTTATATCATCATGCGCATCGACCTTGGTAGTACGCACATCTCTTTTATGTGCCGCTACTATCAAGTCAGACAGCAAACAAGCGAGCATGTTTTCTTGTACCACGGACTGTATCTTGACATGAAGAGTAACGGGTAAGATCTTCTGTATAATCGTGCTTCGTGACAGTACTCTGGATGACAGCAATTGTTACTGCTTTCGTCTTCCTAATAAGAATGGCCTCTCTGTCCATGCCTCCTGCGGATCTTGTATTTCGCTTTGTAAGCGTCCCTTCATACAAGATGAGTCCTGCCGTTTCTGCTCATCTTTGGTGTGTTTACCTCGTTGCCCAGTTCGAATTTTTGCATGAGAAGTGCAATTCCCTGTACAAGCAATTTCAGTTTCCCTCATTGATCAAGTGGAGACATGGACGCAATCATGTGGCTGGCAGGTGTGGGACAGTCGTGGGGACCCTGGCAGGTCTCGTTCGAACATTAAATTCAACAATGGGACCACCACGAAACCCTTCGGTGTTGCACACTATACTTGCACCCAGGTGCGTTCTACCGCCAACCTCGGTAAAATGGCGTCTATCTCTGTTGGTAGCACAACTCTTGTAGTTAAAACACATGGAATGAGTATGGATGTTTTGCAAGGCACCACGTCGTATCCACTTCTTATCAAGTTGAGCCACGTCGCTTCCCTTATCCGCAATGTGTCTTGTAGGGGCATTTCTACTCAATCTTGATCTTAGCTGATGGTGACACACCAATGGAAGCAGAAGAAGGGGGGGAGGCTGAGGAGCGAGTGGAGGAGGGGATGATGCAAGGCAGTGAGAATGGGAATCAAGGCGACGGAGTTGTTATCAGAGATGCTGCCAACCATGTGAGTCTCTCATATTGTTCTCCGCTAGTGCTGCTTCCATGAAGAATTCTAGCTGAGACAGGTGGATTCGGTAAGAAGCAAATCAGCCTGGCTGAGGCCGGATGAGCCTGGGTGAGAACCAAAGTAGCCCGCACATTGAAGCTCTAAAAGCGGGCATGTCTTTCCTTGCTGAGAAGTGTTGGTGCCTTAAAATTAACTCTTCCAAATGCTTTTAGTGAAAGCTTCGTGGCAGTATCACCTCACGTCTGGTGTCTCTCATACTGTTACAATAACATTGCACCTGCGGCCTTATTTGATTGATTCTCTTCCATTTTCTCTCCTTCATGCGGTTCAGCCTGTGGCTGCAACGTCAGCCGCAGGGCCGCCATCAGCTGCAGGCAGTCATGCTGCTCCTCCTGCTGCTACAGCTGTTCGTGCTACAGCCATTCGGACCCCAACTGCTACAGCTGCTCGTGCTACAGCCATTGGTGGACCTCCTGCATCATCCTCTCGTGCCTGTCGATCTGCTGCACCAACTGCCCCCCCCCGTGACACAACCTCCACAGGTAACCTGCATTCCCATTAGGGGTTTGGGGAAAGGGGGGGTGGGGGGTGGCAGAGAGGGGGAAGGATTGAAGCTTGGCAGGGATGGGGGAGGGCACACAGAGGGAGGAACGTTGGCACAGAGAGCGGGGGGATGTTGGCAGAGAGGGGCGGGGAAGTTTTGTGGTGACTACAATTGGGAAAGGTTGGCAGAGGGAATAAGGTTGGCGGAGGGGATAAGGTTGGCGGAGTAAGGGGGGATGGGGGGGGGGGGGGGGGGAGAGAGGAGGGAGGACGGGGGGATGGTGGTGGCGGGGGTTTGACAAAGAGGGGGAGAGAAGGTTGATAGAGAGTGGGGGAAGGTTAGCAGAGAGGATGGGGAAATGCTTGGAAAAGATGGAGGGTAGGTGTGGGGGGAGAGGAGGTTGGAAGAGTGAGGTGGTTACTGGTTGGAAGAGTGAGGTGGTTACTGGTTGGAAGAGTGAGGTGGTTACTGGTTGGAAGAGTGAGGTGGTTACTGGTTGGAAGAGTGAGGTGGTTACTGGTTGGAAGAGTGAGGTGGTTACTGGTTGGAAGAGTGAGGTGGTTACTGGTTGGAAGAGTGAGGTGGTTACTGGTTGGAAGAGTGAGGTGGTTACTGGTTGGAAGAGTGAGGTGGTTACTGGTTGGAAGAGTGAGGTGGTTACTGGTTGGAAGAGTGAGGTGGTTACTGGTTGGAAGAGTGAGGTGGTTACTGGTTGGAAGAGTGAGGTGGTTACTGGTTGGAAGAGTGAGGTGGTTACTGGTTGGAAGAGTGAGGTGGTTACTGGTTGGAAGAGTGAGGTGGTTACTGGTTGGAAGAGTGAGGTGGTTACTGGTTGGAAGAGTGAGGTGGTTACTGGTTGGAAGAGTGAGGTGGTTACTGGTTGGAAGAGTGAGGTGGTTACTGGTTGGAAGAGGGGGTAGGTGAGGTTGGCAGAGAGAGTGAGTGGTATGTGCTGAGGGGGTAGGTGAGGTTGGCAGAGAAGGAGGTTGGGAATGTTGGGAGAGAAAGTGGGGGAGAGAGGGGGAAAGGGCAGAGAGGGGAACAGACGGTTGATAGAGAGCGGTGAAAATTGGTACATAGGGGCAGCAGTGAGGCGGGGCTCAAATTCGGCTTCTAGAGGGGCGAGCAGGGCAGAGAAGAGGAGAGAAGGTTGGCAGATGTGAGGTGGGTGGAAAGGTTAGCAGAGAGCAGAGAGGGGGAGCAGGTGAGAGATTGCAAGAGACTGTGATGAAGGAAAATAATATGTCTTCGCTGGTTTTTACCGTGGTGCCTCTGCTGTCACCTCTCACTCACTAAGTTCCTATATTCGTTCAAGAAGGAAAAATCAAACACAAGTCATCCATTCTTATTTGGGATTTCAACCCATGTGTTCCCACCACATGCTATCACATGGTTTTCCTCATGCCATAATCATTCCCACACACCCTTAGCCCCATGCTCATCTTGTGTTCTCCTATCTTCTTTGCTTGTTCCCATGCTCATAAGCATGTAATTGCATTCCCATGCCCTGTCTCGTGCGTTTCCGTGTGCTACAGCCCATCCTCCTCGCCATGCTTCGCAACGTGTTGCATCAGTCGCTGCCACTCGCGCTACAGCCGTGACTGCTCCTCGCACCACCACTCGAGCTGCTTCCCGTGCTGCCACCCGATCCGCTTTGGCACCTCGCACCACCACCAGCAACGGCACCACCACCACCACTGCCGCCGGCACTACAGGCACCATTGCCACCCGCCCCACAGCCGGCTACAGTACTGCCACCACTGCCACCCACATTTCCCAACGCACCTCCACCCGTGTTACGAGCACCACTGCTGCCAATTCTACCGCCACCACCGCCACCCGCATTACAGGCGCCACCATCACCCGTACCACCCGCCCCACTCGCACCATTCCCGCTTGCACTACCACCACCAGTGCCTCTGCCTCCCGCGCCTCTGGCACTTCTGCCATCTGCACCAACACCGCTAGTGCAGCCCGTGCCACCCACACCACTGCCGGCTGCATTGGTAACCGCACCAGTGCCGCCCCCCACACCACCAGTACCACTCCCGCCTGCAGTACAACCACCACTGCCGACCACACCTCAGGCACCACTGGCGCCAGCAGCAACAGAATCACTAATCTCCGCACCACCGGCACCAGTGCCACCCGCACTAACAGTACCACTGCCGCTCGCACCAACGGCACCAGTGCCGTCCGCACCAACAGCCATACTGCCACTCGCAGCACACACTCGGAGGGTCGTATCGGAACAACAGCTGCCTCTCATGCCGCTCGCTGGAATGGGCCGTTTGCTGCTGCTGATTCGCGCACCAATGCCCGTTCCACTCAAGGTGAGCATTGCACTTGTGGTGTGAGGCCATGCTTGCAGGAATGAGCACAATGGAGGGGGCTGGTCACGGTGGTGGTGTATGTTGCTGTGGAGTTGTTCTGTTTTCCATGTGTGGCATGGGAGACAATGCAGTGCAGGTTGATGCTGAAAAAAATGTTGTTCGGGAAGACATGAGGACGTTTCAGGTCTTGCTCTTACCGTATGTCCCTGAGTCAACACTCTCTGCGTGCAAGTCTCCTCACCTCAATGCATGCATCGACTCATTATATCATCTTGTGGGGAGCCGTCACGTCACTTCCTTCTCATCGTTGCTCCCTCGTGCTGTCCAGCAGCATCCTGTGCCAGGACCCTGAATCACTCTCCCCTCCCTCCCAGCTCATCTTCTCATTCATCCGTCCCCGACCTCCCTCCTCCCAGCCGGGAACAGCGATGGAGCATCGAGCTCGTTGGCACGAGTGAAGACTGGCAGGCAGTGACCCAACCATCTGCTCTGCACCTGTTCTTCTGATCCGATCTGGGGGCATGCCTGTCATCCAAGCTGCCCTGGCATCTGCACGACGCCCTCGTCTGATGCTACCGGTACTTGACATCATGTGTGTGACTCGACTCGAGCAACGGTGACATTTCATTGTGCTTCTTGTTTCTATGTTGGAGGTTGAAAGCGTAACATCCGGTAGGCTCCATAACATGTTCATTGAAAAAATTTACAGACGTTTCCTCTAACAGGTTATTCCAAAATTTGTTTTCCCCAACTTTTCCCATACCAACCTTATGCATTGCTTCAGTGCCAAGGTGAGTAAGTACCATGCTGCTGAGTCTAGACTCGGGACTCATGCTTCATGCCACAGGAAGAAAAAAATCTGAATCAAATTCTTTTGTGTTGTAGGGTAAAAGTTTCTAGCCCATGGCACAACACCAAGTAGCCATCAATCAATGTTCAAATTGATGCGTTATGATTGATGGAACAGAAACATGAAACAGAAGCCGGAGATATGTGTGTTATGTTTCTAGGTAATGTTTGCAATTACAGCCCAAACTAACCATGATCTGAAGCCTAAATGCGGCGCGAGCTCTGCCAACAAAGCAGGAGCATCGCTCCAATATAGTCACATAGTTGTGATGACACTGAAAGCTAGTCACCTTGTCTACTTCCTATCCATCCTCCAAATCCTCCCATTCCATCTCCTCCCCATCCCCCTCTCCCACCTCCCCATCCTTGCCTTCTTCGTCCTTCTCATCTCCATCTCACCTCCTCCCCCCATTTCCCCACTCCCTACCCCTCACTCCCATTGCCTTCGATCCTCTCCCTCTTCCTCTTCATGACCCTCACCATCACTCCCCTCTCGTTCCTCCCCTTCGCTCTCCTCATCCGCTTCCCCCATCCACACTTCCCCTTCATCATCTTCCTCTGAGCCACCCACTGCATGCTCTCCCTCGTCCAGATTCGCTGTACCACCACCACCCTCTGTATTGCCACCTTCAAAGGCACATCTGGCTTGCAAAGCTCCTGACAGCGTGGCGTCGAGAGACGCCACCTCAGCACCACCTGGCGCGTTGGAAGCGAAGCCGGTGAAGTTGGCTGCTGACATGTCGTCGCGGGAGAGGGCAGAGCGGAAGACAGCGAGGAGGGGGCGATTGGGGGAGAGGGAGAGTGGTGGAGTGACATAGGCAGGCTTCAGCGGTGCAACCTTTGCGTGACAGCAGTGCAATCTTAGCATGACCACAAAACAGAACAGAGACAGAACCTCACCACCAACACGCGCTCCAGCAGCAAGGTATGAGTACCACTCTTGTCAACCCCTCACCCCCCATGGCATCACCTATTTCCTCCTCTGAATCTGCCTCTTCCATTATCTTGCCATTCCTCTCTCACCTCCCCATCCTGCCTTCCTCGTCCTCTGCATCTCCATCTCCCCCACCTCCTCCTCCGTTCCCCACTCACCTACCCTTCACTCCCCCCCCCTTCCCTCCCCTCCCCTTCACTCCCCTCCCCTTCACTCCCATCCCCTTCACTCCCATCCCCTTCACTCTCCTCTCCATCCTCCTATTCATCCATCTCCTTCCTCCCATTCACTCTCCCCCACTTTTGCTCCCCACATCCTCCTCCCCTCCCCAATCCACGCTTCCCCTTCATCGTCTCCCTCCGAGCCGCCCACTGCCCGCTCTCCCTCGTCCAGGTTCCTTGTACCATAGATCACCACCCTCCGTCTTTTCCCTGCTCCCCTACCCTTCACTCCCTTCCCCTTCTCTCCCCTCCCCTTCATTCCCCTCTCCCCTCATCCTCTCTTGCTCCTCCTCATCCTCATCCTCTTCCTCCTCCTCCTCCTCTTCCTCCTCCTCCTCCTCCTCCTCCCCATCCTCATCCTCCTCATCCTCTTCCTCCTCCTCCCCCTCTTCCTCCTCCCCATCCTCTTCCCCCTCCCCATCCTCATCCTCCTCCCCATCCTCTTCCTCCTCCTCATCCTCTTCCTCCTCCCCCTCTTCCTCCTCCCCATCCTCATCCTCCTCCTCCTCTCCCTCCTCCTCATCCTCGTCCTCCGGGCCAACCACCGCACGCTCTCCCTCATCCAGGTTCGCTCTAACCTTTATCACCACCCTCCCTACCGACAGCAGCGGGCAGCTACTGACAACGCAGGCCAGCAGCTTCCCCATCTGCTGCAGGCCCGCGGGTAACCGAGCCAGCAGCTTGCACCGCAACAGGCTCAATTCCTCCAGTCCGGGCAGCTGCGAAAAAGTTTCGGGCAGGCTGCAGAGTTCGGGCAGCGACTGTAGAGTTAGTTTCTTCAAAGCAGAGAGCTTCCAAAAGTCATCTGGAAGGCACGAAATCCCGACATCGGACAAAGAACACGACTCCAGCCTGCAGAGACCAGGGAAGGACTCGGGAAGCCTGGTTAGGCCCGGGCTGTTGTGAATTCCTAAAGACTGAAGCTTCTTCAGCTGCCCGAACGACTCGGGCAGAGCAGTCAAGCTCATGGCACTGGTAAGGTCGAGGGATGTGAGAGCTGAGAGCTGCCCTATTGTCTCTGGCAGAGCTACCAGGCTTTCGGCAACCATGATCGCCAGTGACTGCAAGCGAGAGAGACGAGAGATGGAGTCTGGGAGTGAGCGGAGCCGATCCACTTGCAAAATTTCCAGCTTGGTTAGCGACAGGAAGCAACCCAGCGATGGACCGAGCAGTTGCAGGGGAAGCTTCTCAATCTTGAGATGGCCAAGGTAGGGAAGCAACAGTCTCTTGTCACTCTCCTCAGATCCCCCACAGCTGCCAGTGACACTGCTGCTACCAGTGAGACCGGGTAACTCACGGCAGGTGATTCTCCCCCCAAGCTCTTGCCCGGCAGCTCCCGTGTGTGCATCGCCCGTGTGTGCATCCCCCAGGTCTTCATCCCCTAACAGCGACTCCAGCGCGCTGCAGCAACTCAATTCCAGAGACTTCAACCGCTGCAGCTGCCACAGTGACCGCGGGAGCGACTTCAGATTGCGCAGTTCGCTAAGATGGAGTGTTTCAAGCGATCTCAGCCGTCCGATATCCTCTGGCAGCGCCTCAATTCGCGTGCATCTGACGACCACGAGGCTGGTGAGAGAGCGGGCGATGGCAGGGAGGGAGGCTGGCAGGGCGGGCAGGTGCGGCAGGGAGGAGAGATACAGCTCCTTGAGGCTTGTCATGTGGGAGAACCAGTCTGGTAGCGCGTCTAGTAAGCTGGTTGCTTCAGATATTTCTAGGGTTTCGAGGGAGGAGAGGTTGGAGAAGGATGGAGGGAGGTGGGTGAGAGCTGTGCATGCGAGCAGAGTCAGTCTGCGCAGGCTACACAGACCATCCCCCATGCCCTGCGGTAGCACCGTCAGGTTGCGGCACTGACTGATGTCCAGCAGCTCGAGGGAAGAAAGCAGAGTGAGGGAGTCTGGAAGCTGCGTCAGCAGGCTGCATGTGTCTATTCTCAGCTCCTTGAGGCTCATCAGGTTGCCAAAGGCTGCTGGCAGGCTGCTGAGCTGCGGAAGCTTAACCAAGTACAGTGACTCCAGGGCAGTCAGCTGCCCGAATTCCTCGGGCAAAGATTGCAAAGTTCCAGCCCTTTGAAGCGTGAGGACCTTGAGTGTGGTGGCGAGGTATTCGGAGGGACGCAGGTGCACGGCAATTCCAACGTCTAGCCTGAGCGTGCGTAGGCGTGGGAGGAGAGCGATGTCGACAGGCATATGCTGGAGGTGAAGGTTGAGGAGGATAAGGTCCGTGAGAGAAGGCAGGTGGGAAAGGGAGGCAGGAATAAAGTCCATATTGCGGCAGTAGATCACGGAAAGGAGCCGCAGCCGCTGCAGCTGCCCGAGACTGGCGGGAAGGCTGGTAATTCCCCCCACGGCCTCCAGACGAATGGTTTCAAGCGCGGGCAGGTTACCAAAACTCTCGGGCAGCGGCGAAAGGTGTTCGCAGTTGGAAATTTTGAGGTTCAGCAGGGACGAAAGGTTGGAGATGGACTCGGGCAGCTGAAGCCCTAAATCACAGCCGTTGATGGAAAGATGCGTCAAGTTGGTAAGCTGCCCGAAAGAATCGGGAATGGAGCGGAGACGCGTGCATCTTTCCAGCCGGAGCGACTTGAGCAGCATCAGATTGCCGAAGTGCTGAGGCAGTTCATCCAGGCCGTACATTTCAATCACGAGATGCGCGAGTGACTGTAACGAGGTGAACGCGTCTGGAAGGAGAGGGATTCTCCCCCGGTCGGTGATGTGCAGGCTCTTGAGTGACGCAAGGCCGCCGATTGAAGCGGGAATGGCGGTCAGGTTTGACTGACAATCAAGATGAAGCGCCTCCAGCCGCGTGATCTTCTCAAGGAGATACGAAAGCCCGTTCTCAGTGAACCCTCCGCGTCTGTACCTTTGATCCATCGTATCGACTTGTAGGTCCGTCAGATCTGGACACGTGTCGGCAATCCGCGAGAGGAGGGAGTCAGGGATGGACGTGATGCTTCCTTTGGGGAGAACGAGCCTTCGGAGCCCTGGGAATGACGAGAGGTGCGCGAGCAGCTCGCGAGGACGCATGCGACGCTCTTCGCGAATCTGGATGTGGTCGTGCACGCTACGGGCAATGCGATGCCATTTTTTACACACAAGCGCGTGCTGGAACTGGCCGTTGGATCTACCGACGAGACGGAGGATAATGGAGAGAAGATCGTCTGCAAGCGGTTCGAACGGTGATGCGTCAGCCATTCTGGCTAGTTGATAAGACGCCATGCTGACGAAAGTGCTCGAAGACTAGAATAAGGTTGTAGTGAAACCCGCAGACAGGAAAGGAGCTTCAGACTCGTAGAGAAACCCGCAGAAACGAAATGGCGGAAGTCTGTGTGGGAGAGTGTTGCTGCGATGACAATCCCCAGAGAGTTTTGCTCAATTCCGCGGAATCGCGGTTCGTTTTATTATCGCCACGTGGCTCGCCTTCGATCGCGAGAACCGCGATCTGTTTTATTTTTCTCACAAAGTTCATGACAAATTTAGTTAAGTTCTGTAAGGTGCTACCCGCGGGCAAAAATAAAACCCATTTGGGCCTGGCATGCGTTAGGGAGGCATCAACCCTAAACACCTTGCCTCTGTGTGTTTAGGGTTGATGCATCCCTAACGCATGCCCTTGCCATAAGGGTTTTATTTTTGCCCGCGGGCAAGGCAGTACATGTGATCCACTAAGCTTAACTAGCTTTCTCTTAAAAAATGTGGGAACAATAAAACAAATCGCGGTTCCCACGATCAAAGGCATGCCACGTGGCGAAAATAAAACAAACCGCGGTTACACGAGCAAAACTCTCCAATCCCCAGGGCAGATGCAACCAACCCATTGTCGCAATGTATTCTCGAAGATCTACTGTAGCATTTGACGAATTGTCGAGCAAGAAATATATGGGTGTTACATTGTGCACCTAGTTTTGTTCACCTTTATGTTGACTCCGCTAAGAGTGTTGGCTCTATGTTCGCTCGTTTCGGCGGAGGTTCCAAGTTTCCTGAAGGGCGGTCCGACAGTGTGACGTCACGTCACGAACGTCCCAGTCCATTCACCCATGAAGAACCATGGAAACCGTCCGATGGCATGGATGATTTTTGGCCTGCCCAGGGTCTCGATGCCCCTTTCAATGTCGGCATGCTCTGTGCCTTCGCTATTGGACAGGACCTACGGAGCCTACATAGCCTTGCAGTGGTGCGGAGTTTTAGCTACAGGATAGCTTCGACTTCGGGAATGTCGCCGCCGCCGCCTAAACTGGTTCCTTCTCGCTCGGCGGATGTCACTTCGGGCCAAAGTATGTCCAGCTTGAGTCTGCAGAGCTTCTCATATGCAGGCCAATTAGTTTGCGGAGTAGCACGAATAGTTGAGCAGCTTGAAACGTTAGAGGCCATTGAAACGTTGAAGTAGCGGAACCTAAGAGCAGCCGCATCGCCACGTTGCACACGTGGGAAACCCGCTCGCCGTTCAGAGACATCAGAGCATGGACAGAATCATGCGAGTGTTTCAGCCGTCGAGGCCTTTTCGTCGACGCGACGGCACAGCAGAAATGGAAGCAGCCGCTCCCGACGCTCTGCGATCGTCAGACAGCGCGTCGCCTTTGACCGAAACGTCGCCCGCAATCCCTCCAGATCAGGCGACGACGCACGAGAAACCGCAACAGCGCATCGTTCACGTTGACGATCCTGACCGTACGATTCGAGAGGCCGAGCTAGACGCATCGGACGGCGGAGAAGGCCTGCTAGCGAGGTGGAGGATACATAGAAGCCGATTGGCTAATAACCGCATCCGGACGAGTAAATACACGCTGCTTACCTTCCTCCCTCGCAACCTATTCGAGCAGTTTCATCGCGTCGCGTACATATACTTCCTCGTCCTAATCTTAATCAACCAGATCCCTCAGCTCGCGATCTTCGGCCGTTACATCTCCGTCATTCCGCTGCTCTCCGTGCTGACGGTAACGGCGATTAAAGACGCCTTCGAGGACTGGCGACGCCACCGCGCCGACGCGCGGGAGAATGGACGCGAGTGCTTTGTGTACCGCGGGGGCCAGTGGTGCGCTGCCACGTGGCAGAGCATTCGCGTGGGAGAGCTGGTGCATGTACGGGGGGACACCACGGTCCCGTGCGACATCGTGCTTTTGGCGTCTAGCGATCCGTCGGGTCGCGCGTTTGTGGAAACAATGAATCTGGACGGCGAGACGAACCTCAAGACCAGGTACAGCGTTTCTGCCGCCCCAAAAAACAGAGAGTCGGCGGCTGGCGTCGCTGAGGGCAGGGATAGCATAGGGGGTGGTGGCAATGATGGTGGCGATGATGGCACTCCCGCCTCAAAACAGGATCAGGAACAGCAGCACTCGCCGCAGCAGTCTCAACAGCAGCCTCAGCAGCACCTGCAACAGCAGCAGAACGAGACGCAGAAGCATAGGAAGAAGCGGCAGCAGCACAGCGGTCGAGGCAGCTGCATCCATCCTAAGCAGCAAAGCAGCAGCGTTGCTAGTTTTTTTCAGCAGAAGCAGGGTGAAGGAGCGGAGGGGGGGGGGGGGGGGTGCTGACGTGTGAAGCCCCCTCGCGGAACATATACGAGTTCTCAGGGTTCCTGCAGCAGCCGCCCGGGAAGGGCAGCGCTGGAAGCACCACCGGCTGCACCAGCAGCACCAGCAGCACGTCTGGTACCAATAACAACCCATGCGTGGATGCACGTGGCGGCGATTCCAATGGAGCTGATGAGGCCACCACCACCGCTGCTGCTGCTGCTACTGCTGCTGCTGCTGCTGCTGCTGCTGCTGCTGCTGCTGCTGCTGCTGCTGCTGCTGCTGCTGCTGCTGCTGCTGCTGCTGCTGCTGATGATGCACTGTTAGATGCTGATGAAAGCAATGGGACGAGATTCGGCTTTGGGAAAGCCGCTAACGCTACTGGTTGTGGCACGAGCAGCAGCACTAGTGCAGGCAGCACCACTACCGCCAGCACCGTTAGCACCTGCACCAGCCATATCACCACCACCATCAGCCCTTCTATTACCCCTGAGACTCCCGCCAGTAGCAGCGTGGCTGTGGGCCCTCTAAACGTTTTACTTAGAGGGTGCGAGTTGCGCAACACAGCGTGGGTGGAGGGTGTTGCAGTGTACACGGGCGACGACTGCAAAGTGGTACTTAACTCCGTGGGCGCACAGTCCAAGCGCAGCCGCATAGAATCCCACCTAGACCGAGACATGCTCCTCCTCGCTCTCCTGCTCACCGTGCTCTGCTTGATCTGCGCTATCGGCATGGGCGTGTGGCTTGGGAATCATGAATTACCCGCTCTGCCGTACTACGGCGTGAGTTACGATTACCTGGGCGTGGGAGGGGAGGCGGCGTTGAATTTCTTTGCGACGCTGATTCTGCTGCAGGTGCTGGTGCCGATCTCGCTGTATATTTCCATGGAGCTGGTGCGGATTGTGCAGGCTGTGCTCATGACCTGCGACCGGCATATGTGTGACGAGGAGGGGGAGAGAGAGGCGGAGGCGAGTGCTGGGTGGAAAAGGCACTGGGTGGGGAGTGCGCGGGGAATGAGTGTAGGGAGGATTAGGCGATGGGGGAGGAAAAAGAAACGTGTGGGAGAGGGGAAGGGAGGCGAGGAGGCGGCGGAGGGGGAGGGGGAGGAGGTTGGGAATGGGACTGATGTGGGAGCGGCGGGGTTGGGTAATGGGAAGGGGAGCGGAGGTGGTGGGAGTAGCGGTGGTGAGAGCAGCAAAAGCAATAGTGGTGGGAGTGAGAGTGGGTTGCTGTGCCGTGCGTTGAACATTAATGAGGACCTGGGGCAGGTGAAGCACGTGCTGACAGACAAGACCGGCACGCTCACTGAGAACCGCATGGCCTTCCACTCCTGCTCCGTCGCTGGTGTCGACCTGCACTCCCTCCTCGCACCTACTGGGAAATTTGTTGACACTTCTTCTCCTGTTGCTGCTGCCTCCTCTGAATGCGAGTCCTCCACTCAAAGGTCACCTGCTCTTGCTCTTGCTCCTGCTGCTGCTGCTGCTGCTGCTGCTGCTGCTGCTGCTGCTGCTGGCGCCCGGGCTAAGGAGGTTCCAACTGCTGCCGAACCTGGAGACGCCGTCGAGCCTGGAGCTGTGTCCGAGGCTGATGTGGAGGCTCGGCTGGTTGAGCCGCCTGGTGGCGTTGGTGGTTTGGGGCCGTTGCAGCTGTCGGTGGGGCTGGCTCGGACGTTTGCTGACGTGGCAGGGCGTGATGCTGGAGGGTTGCTAGATGAGTTCCTATTGGTGCTGGCGGCGTGCAACAATGTGGTGCCGACACGTGTCAGCGTGACAGCGAGCGGTGAGCTGGACATGCATGCTGTGGGCGAGGGGGAGGATGACGTGGCAGAGGATGAGGGTCAGGAGGAGGAAGCGGGAGAGGAGGAGATTGAAAGGGAGGGAGATGGAAGAAGGGAAGATGCTGGGGGGAAGCACAAGGGGAATGGGGGTGCCATTGGGGGGCCAAGTATGGCAGCACAGAATCAAAGTCCTGATGCTGCTTCATGTGTAGGCGCTGATGTGGAACTGGGACTGCTTGACGCAGCAGCCGTGCCCACTGCTGACGTGGCAAGTGATGACGTGGCAGAGGAGCTGGGCGAGGTGATTGAGTACCAGGGCGAGTCCCCAGACGAGGTGGCGCTTGTGAAGGCTGCAGCCGGCATGGGTTGGCAGCTAATGCAGCGATCAGAGCACCACATTGTGATCAACGTCAGAGGAAAAGACGAGAGGTGAGTGGTAGTCAGGAATGTGAACGAGGATGTGGTAATGGATGTCAACCTGGCAGTATGCTGAAAAATACAATACAAGGTGTCAAGGGATGCACCAGTGTGGCATGGGTTGGCAGCTAGTGCAGCGATCGGAGCACCACATTGTGATCAACGTCAGAGGAAAAGACGAGAGGTGAGTGGTAGTCAGGAATGTGAACGAGGATGTGGTAAAGGATGTCAACCTGGCAGTATGAAAAATACAATACAAGGTGTCAAGGGATGCACCAGTGTGGCATGGGTTGGCAGCTAGTGCAGCGATCAGAGCACCACATTGTGATCAATGTCCGAGGGAAAGACGAGAGGTGAGTGACAGTGAGGCAGGTCAGTGTGAGTGAGAGTATAATCGCATAAGACTAATCGAGGTGCCAAGGACAGCACACACAGATGGTCCCTAAGGCCCTTCCCGTCTTCACCTCCTGCAGATGTGGAAGTGATGTAAGGTATGGGCAGGTAAGACCTGTTGAGACTGCCCAAGCTTGACAGCACCCGAATCTATAGGCGGCTTGAGAATCCTTGTGCCTTTTTCCCGCTCGGCCCCTGGTCTCACGCCTTGCAAATATCTCATGTCTTCTCCCTCCTCTGTCAACTAAATCTCCCTTCTCCGTCACACCTACCCGTCTGTGCAGGTACGAGGTGCTGGGCGTGCACGAGTTCCACAGCAGCACGCCCAGGCAATGAGGCGCCTAAAGAAGAATGCGTCCTGTTTTTTTTTTCCGTTTTGTCAATTTGATCCTTTGTGCGCACGCACCTTCTGTGCAGGTACGAGGTGCTGGGCGTGCATGAGTTTGACAGCACTCGCAGGCGCATGTCCGTTGTCCTCCGCTGCCCGGATGGTTCCGCGAAGCTTCTTGTCAAGGGCGCCGACAGCACCGTTCTCAGCCGCGCGGAGTGTGAAGAAGGCGCCGGGAAGCTTCCTGGAGCAGAGGAAGGAGGAGCATCGGGGAGAGGAGTGGGGAAGGGTGGGAGGCGAAGGAGTGGGAAGGGGTTTGGGTGTCAGGGGCCTCTGGGTGGGTATGTCAGTTGCTTTGTGGGGGCAGCGGCAGGGGCAGGGGACAGGGAGGAGCAGAGTGCGGCAACAGGGATGGTGGTGGGGGATGAGTTAGATGAGGAGAGTGAAGGTGAAGACTTTGGGGAAGGCGATGGGGAAGGAGAAGAGGAAAAGGAAGGTGAATTACTGCAAAGGGAAGACGATGCAGTGGCAGATGAGGGGGATGTGCGAGAGAATGGTCATCCCCAGCACCGCAAACCCCCTCACGACCCCTCGAGTCAGCGCCTCATTGTCTCCGCCACCGAGCGTCACATCCACCAGTACTCCCAGGCCGGCCTGCGCACGCTCGTCATTGCCGCCCGCCCGCTCCCCCCCGCCGCTCTCCACGCGTGGCTCACCGCCCACCGCGCCGCTGCCCGCTCGCTCTCCGCCCACCGCGACGCGCAGCTCGCCGCACTAGCAGACGAAACGGAGCGGCGGCTGCAGATCTTAGGCGCTACAGGGATTGAGGATAGGCTACAGGCGGGCGTTCCGGCTGCGCTACAGATGCTGAGAGGGGCGGGCATGAAGGTGTGGATGCTGACTGGCGATAAGGTGGAGACGGGGGTTTCGATCGCGCGGTCGTGTGGGTTGGTGAGGAGAGAGGACCGGGTTGTGAGGGTGAGTGCAGGGAGTGAGAGGGAGTGTGAGAGGAGACTGAGGGAGGTGTGTGGGATGGAGGGGAGTGGGGTTGGGGAAGTGGGGGGAGTGGGAGAGGCGGAGAGGTTGGGGGTCGGGAGAGGAGAGGGAGGGGCTGCAGCTGTGGAGGAGGAGGAGGGTGATTGTAGGGATGGTGCGAGCAGGAGCAGCAGCAGTAGTAGCAGTAGCCATGGCAGTAGCGATGTGCGGGGCCTGAATGGGGCTAGCCTGGGGGAGGGTGAAGGCGAGGGGAGGACAGGGGAGGAGGTGGGGAAGCACAGTGGCGGCCTGGGCTCATGGCATGCAGACAGTGCAGCAGCGTCACGGGCAATGGCTATCGATGGGGCTACACTGGCGTTTGCACTTACTCCTGCACTGCGTGGCCTGGTGAGGACATCCCGCCAGGTGAGATAAGGTGGGGAAGCACATGGGCGCCCTGGGCTCATGGCATGCAGGCAGTGCAGCAGTGACACGCGCCATGGCCATTGAAGGCGCTACACTGGCGTTTGCTCTTTCGCCTGCACTTCGTGGCCTGGTGAGAGCACCCCGCGTTGTGAGATAAGGTGGGGGTGGGGAAGCACAGTGGCGCCCTGGGCTCATGGCATGCAGGCAGTGCAGCAGCATCATGTGCCATTGGCTATTGATGGCGCCACACTGATACTCGCTCTCTCACCTGCTCTGCGTGGCCTGGTGAGAACGTCCTGCCTGGTGAGATAAGGTGCACATGGGGAAGGAAGTGGCTCATGGCATGCAGGCAGTGCAGCAGCGTCATGCGCCATGGCTATTGATGGCGCCACACTGGCAGTCGCTCTCTCACCCTCACTGCGCAGCCTGGTGAGAACCAGGCAGCCTCGCCTCCTTTTTCCTCAACCCCTTCGTCTCGCCCGTTTGCCTCTCCTGCACTGTCGGATCAACGAGGCTTCTATCTGTCCACCCCCTCTTTCTCCCCCGTGCCCCGTCAATCGTGTGTCACAGCTCTCTTTGTGCTTATCCTGCCAATGGCCTTGCTCTCCTTGCCTGTCCTTGCCTGTCCTGATACCCACCCCCCTTTGCCTCTCTGCTCGCCTGCCTGTCCTCCATTTGTGCTTCACAGCGCTGCTCCGTTCTGCCGTGCTGTGCGGGTGACTTCCATACAGAAGGCTGCTGTGGTCGCGGGCGCCCACAGTGACCGTCCTAACTCCGTTCTCCCATGTCCACTCTACCTACTCCCGCCTCTCCTCCAGTTCTTCCGAGCGTCGCAGCGCTGCTCAGTGGTGCTGTGCTGTCGGGTGGCTCCCTTCCAGAAAGCTGCCGTGGTGGCACTCACCTCATTCACCCTATTCCTCTTGCTCCCCTCCCGCTGCTCCTCCAGTTCTTCCGAGCCTCACAGCGCTGCTCCGTACTGCTGTGCTGCTGAGTGCCCCCCACAATGACCGTCCTATCCTCATTCTCCCCTTCCGTTTGTCTCTCTCTCCCCGCGTCTCCCCCAGTTCTTCCGAGCCTCACAGCGCTGCTCTGTGGTTCTGTGCTGCTGAGTGGCGCCCATGCAGAAGGCTGCTGTGGTGCCTCCCCACAGTGACAGTCCGAACCTCCTCCTCCCATTTCCTCTCTCCTTCCCCCTCTCGTCTCTGTTCTTCCGAGCCTCACAGCGCTGCTCCGCAGTGCTGTGCTGCCACGTGGCACCCATGCAGGAAGAGTGGTGGTCCTCACACAGTGCTCTACTCCCTAACTTCTTTTGCCCATTTCCTCTCTCCTTCCCCCGTCCGCCTCCCCCACCAGTTCTTCCGAGCATCGCAGCGCTGCTCAGTGGTGCTGTGCTGCCGAGTAGCGCCCATGCAGAAAGCTGCCGTGGTGGCACTCGTGAGGCAGCTGTCAGGGGAATTAACCCTTGCAATTGGCGACGGTGAGTTGAGTCCAGGGGAAATCACCCCGCACAATCAGGGATTGAGGGTTGGTCTTAGGAGAACAAGCAGCCCATTAGTGAGGATAGTGGCTGATAGCCAGGGAACTCAGCCTTTGCAATTGGAGATGGTGAGTTGATTCCAGGGGAGGGGAACTAACCATCCATGCACGTGCATGGGCGTACAAGGGGTGGCAGGCTGTGCTGGCGAGCAACTTCTCTTTGCGGCAATTCCACTTGGTCGTGTTCTTCCCCTCTCTCGTTTCTGCTTTAAACATCGTGCCCATTCTCTTGTCCCCATTCTCCCGCTCCTCCTCTCAGGAGCCAACGATGTGCCGATGATTCAAACAGCAGCCATAGGGGTGGGCATTCGAGGCCACGAGGGGAGGCAGGCTGTGATGGCAAGTGACTTTGCCATCTCGCAGTTCCGCTTCCTGGCTCGCCTGGTGCTCGTGCACGGGCACTGGAACTACCACCGCATGGCCTACATGATCGTCTACAATCTATACAAGAACACAGTCTTCGTTCTCCTGCTCTTCTGGTGCGTTCTTAGACGTCACAAAATGCCCAACAGCTAGTTTATGGGCATTGATTGGAACTACCACCGCATGGCCTACATGATCGTCTACAATCTATACAAGAACACAGTCTTCGTTCTCCTGCTCTTCTGGTGCGTTCTTAGACGTCACAAAATGCCCAACAGCTAGTTTATGGGCATTGATTGGAACTACCACCGCATGGCCTACATGATCGTCTACAATCTCTACAAGAACACAGTCTTCGTTCTCCTGCTCTTCTGGTGCGTTCTTAGACGGCACAAAATGCCCAACAGCTAGTTTATGGGCATTGGTTGGAACTACCACCGCATGGCCTACATGATCGTCTACAACCTCTATAAGAACACTGTCTTTGTGCTGCTGCTATTCTGGTGGGTCTCTTGCCTTCAATCCCCCTAAACGAAAGGCTGCCTGTTTGAAGTCTTTCTTTAGTGAACCCAGACTCGGATGGTTTACAGGAACGATATCCTCGTGCTGCTGCTGCTCTTCTGTTATGTCTTCTTGCTGCTGCCCTCTTGGTGTGCCCCCGGCGTTTTCAACGGGGCTCATGAGCCAGCTGCCCTGCTGAACTATGCCAAGCATCTGCTTGTCTCTCACGCCCTCCTCACGATCACCCAACGCAACAGTTGTGATGTTTGCGACGTCTCAATACTCTTTTGGGATGACTTGGTCTGAATTCTGCTAAGCATCCGCTTGTCTATCACGTTTTCCTCGTGGACCAACTCAGGATTTTTCTCTCCTCCCCATAATTCTCATTATTCCTGACTACATGTACCTCTCCCAAGCCACTTTCTCCACCGCATCAGCCATAGGCCATGAGGCTCATGTTCTTCTCTTTCACCTACTCCATCCTCTTCCACTCTCTCCCTCTCTCCGTCTGCTCCCACTTGCTCTCTACACTTCTTCCTCCTCCACCCCCCTACCTTCCTACAGGTACCTCACCCAAACAGCATATTCCACCACCTCAGCAATAGGTCAACTGAGCCTCATGTTCTTCTCGCTCACCTACACCACCCTCCCCACTGTCGTCGTTGCCTCCATCGACCAAACCCTCCTGCCCGCCCGCCTGCTCGCCTGGCCCCAGCTCTACGGCGCCGGGCAGCGCGAGGAAACTTACAACCTGCCCGTGTTTCTGGCTGCCATGCTGGATGCCACGTGGCAGAGCCTGGTGATCTTTCTCGTGGGACTGGCGAGCGTGGGTGGGCTGGAAGGGGACATGTGGGCGTTGGGGCAGACGTGGTTGGTGGCGCTGGTGCTGGTGGTGACAGTGCATCTTGCGATGGACATCCGACGGTGGACGTGGCTCCACGCGGCTGCGATCGCGATCTCTATACTCGTTACAGTGGTTTCGGTACTGGTTATTGACTACATCCCCCTGCTACCTGAATACGGGTGAGTGCCTGTGCTATGAGATTCTTTCTCCTTGCGTCCCTGCCTCTCTTACTCTCTGCCTCTCTCTGTCTTGCTGCCTCACTGATTTGTTTGCAACATTTCCATGTTGCTAGACTTCCCGTCAACACTCATACTTCCGTGTGTACCTGTGCGCCTTGTCCGTCTCATTTCAATGTCATGCTCTCTGCACCACATCGACCTTCTGCTTGAATGTGCTGCTGATGGTGGCGCTGGCGACTGTTGAGACGTCTCGAAAGTCATCTTTGTTCGCCCGGTGCTGCTCTCCCCACCCACCTGCAGGTCCTTCCGCTTCGCCATTGCCACATCAACCTTCTGGTTGGATGTGCTGCTGATGGTGGTGCTGGCGCTGCTGCCGCGCTTCTGTGTCAAGGTGGTCTACCAGAAGTGGTGGCCCTCTGATATACAAATAGCATACGAGCTCGAGTGTGTACATACGGATCGCCGGTCACGTTTCACTCCCCTGTAACAGTCACAAAGTTTTGGTGCATTTCTTTTATGATCTAAAATGAACATGCTGTGGAACCTAGTACGTAGATGAGTTATCGACCTCTAACATATGGGAGAAACAAGAAGCACAATGAGATGTCACCATTACGTTTCCAACCTCCAACATAGACACAAGAAGCACAATCAATTGTCACCACTGCTCGCGTCACATACATGATATCAAGTAGCATCAGACGACGGCACCATGCAGATGCCAGGGCAGCTTGATTGACAGCCATGCCATCAGATCGAATCAAAAGAACAGGTGCAGAGCAGATGGGTGGGTCACTGACTGCCAGTCTTCTTTTGTGCCAATGAGCTCGATGCTCCATCCCTGTTCTCGGCTGGGAGGAGGGAGGTTTGGGAAGGAGGAATGAGAAGGGTGAGGTGGGAGGGAGGGGAGAGTGATTCAGGGCCTTGGCACAGGATGCTGCTGGACAGCACGAGGGAGACAATATAAGAAGGGAGTGAGGAGACTTGCAAGCACGGAGTGTTGAAAACCTGTGTGGCTCAGAGTAATACAGTAAAAGCAAGACCTGAAGCATCCTCGTGTCTTTTGGAAAAACATGCTTTTCAGCATCAACCTGCAATGCATTGTCTTGCATGCCCACACATGGAAACCACAACAACACCACAGCAACATACACCAATGCCACCATGATTAGCCCCCTCCATTGACCTCATGCCTGCAGGCACGGCCCCACAACCACACTGCTCACCTCGAGTGGGACGGGCATTAGCGCGCGAATCAGCAGCAGCAAAAGGACCGTTCCCGCGAGCGGCATGGGAGGCAGCTGCCACGTCGGTGCTGCGAGTGACAGTATGGCTGTTGGTGCGGGTGGCAGTGGTTGTGTTGCGGGTGGCAGTGGTGGTGGTGGCATTGGCGGTACTGGTCCTGGAAGTGCAGGTGGCACTGGTGCCGGTGGTGCGGGAAGCAGTGATTCTGTTGGAGCGTCCACCAATGGTGCCTGAGGTGTGGCCAGCCAAGGTGGTCGTAGTGCGGGCAGGAGTGGTGCTGGTGGTGCGGGCGGCACTGGCAGTGGCGCGGGTGGCGCGGGCAGGAATGGTGCCGGTGCTTCGGGTGGCTGTGACGATATTAGTGTGGGCTGCAGTGGTGCTGTTGCTGTGGGCGGCAGAAGTTCCAGTGGCGCAGGAGGCAGTGGTGGTGGTAGTGCAGGCAGGAATGGTGCGGGTGGCAGTGGCACCTGTAACGTGGGTGGCGGTGGTGGCAGTAGAATTGGCAGCAGTGGTGCTGGTAACACGGGTGGCGGTGCGTCGGGTAATGCGGGTGGCAGTGGTGGCAGTACTGTAGCCGGCTATGGGGCGGGTGGCAATGGTGCCTGTAGTGCCGGCGGCAGCGGTGCCAGTGGTGGCGGTGGTGCTTGGAGCACGAGTGGCAGCAGCTGATGCAACACGTTGAGAGACACGGCGAGAAGCATGCGCTGTAGGACAAGTAAACGGGGCAGGGCATGGGATTAAAATAGCATGAAACTGAGTATGGGAACAAGTGTGGAAAGGTAGTGGAACACAGGATGAACACACGGCAAAAGATGGGCATGCGTTATGGCATAAGGACAAGCATGTGCAATCGTATGTGGAAGACATGCAATTAAATTCCCAAATCGTATGAAAATAGGCCGCGCTCGCCACATTGCTTCAGCTTTTCGAGGCACCAAGAACGCAAAAGTTGTGACACCCATGGGATGACAAGCCGGCAACAGTAGAGCCGCCTTGTTGCACCACGGTAAAAAAACAGTGACGAGGTTACTTTTCGTGCATCACAGCCTCTCACACACTCTCACCTGCTCTCCGCCTCTCTCTGCCAACCTCCCCCCTCCTCTCATCTGCTCGCCCCTCTGCGCCGCCAATTCTAAGCTCCCCTTCACAGCTGGCCCTTTGCCAACCCCCCTCCCTCGCTGCCAGCCTGCCACCGGCTCTCTTCCAACCTTCTCTCCCCCTCACCGCCCTTTCCTTCCTCTCCTTCCCCCATTCTCTACCAACCTTTCCAACCCACATCTCTGCCAACCTCCTCTACCCCTACCGAACAACCTTTCTTCCCTCCGTCCTTTGCAAGCTTTCCCCCATCCGCGCTGCTTAATTCCCCCCTCTCTCTACCACCTTCCCTCCCCCTCTGTGTCTTTTCCCCATCTCTTTCAAAGTCCCCACTCCCCCTTCCCGCCCTTCTCTGTCAACCATGTCCCCTCTGCCCACCTTCCAAGTCACTGCAAATCTTTCCCCCCCCCTCTCAGCCAACCTTCTCACTCCCTCGTGGCCAACATTCACCCCTCTCACTACCGTCCTCCCATTCTCTATCCACCCCCCTCTCCCCTCCCCAAACTCTCCTCCCTCCCCCCTCACTGCCAACCTCTCTTTCCGTCTCTCTTCCAACCTTCCCCTCTCTATCCCACCCCCCTCTCAGCTCTCTGCCTGCATGCCCTCCTCCTACCCTGCCAAGCGTCCCTTCAACCCCTCTGCCAACTCCCCCCCTCCCCCCCCACCCCCCTGCATCGCTTGCCCCTGCAAACCTTCCCTTCCCTCTTCCATAGACACTGCAGGTTACCTGGTATGGCAGAAACACGCCGCCGGGCAGTTGATACAGCAGCATGAGAGGACGACGCTGGATCATCCACGATTGTAGCACGCGGAACTGTGGCAGCTGTGGCACGAACGGCGGTAGCAGCAGGAGGATCAGCAAAGGGTTCAGCAGAAGGAGGAGCAAGTGGGGGGGGAGGAGGAGCAGCAAGAGGAGCCGCATCAAGACTGCTCGAAGCTGAAGGCCCTCCTCCCACGGGTAACGCTGCAGCTGCAGGCTGAAGCGCGGGAGTGGGAGCGAAGGGGAGAAAGAAAGGGAAGAAAAAATGGGAATCAGAGGGGCTTGCATGGACGCACGAATGGACAGATGAGTCAACATAACAGCAGGAGCGACTTGCATGAATTTCAATCCTTAGAAGGGCACGTGCAAGATGTTGCCAGCACGTGCTTATCACCGAATGCACTTGGGTGAATGCATCTGAGTACAAGGTATTTCTAGCAACAGCTCCCAGCAATGGACAGACATGGGGAATCTCATGTATTTTCAAAAAAAGCTTGTGTGATAAATTTTGGCAGCACAAACTTATCAGCAGCGCTAGCGACAAGTTAGAAGATGGACTCACATGGCTGGCATGGTAACTGGTGGCACCTTCCCCGTCATGATCCCCGTGCTCCATGCCTTGCAGTATCCCCTCCTCCATCCCCTCCTCACCCTCCCTTCCCTCCTCTGTCACCTCTGGTCCTGTTGGCATTGCTCTCTTGTCTTTGCTGTAAGAGTCCCTTCTAGTAAAAATGACCCTGCAAGAGGCGCAATGGCCAGTTAAAAGAGATGCTGCAAAGTTTGGAAAGGGTTCTATTTGTTGTGTTGTGAAAAGCAGAAAAACTTACTCCATTGGTAAGTATTCCAAGCACAGAGGTACCATTTGAAAAAGTAACTATGTTACCAGGGTTCTATGTTACCTTTGTGCAAGTATAATGAACCATGAAGGTAACGGGGTCAGATCCAAGGTTCAAATACGACCTGTCAGTTGTGTCTCTGACCTGTCGAACAATTTAAAAACATTCTTTTTAAGATGGCACAAAGAAGGAAAACGAACCAATGTAGATGGGGAATGTTCAGGTTCTTCTTTACCATCAAGCAAGGGACTGAACGCACCTCCGATGAGCAGTAAGGGCAGAACTTATCTTGTACAAAGGAGCGCCCAGAAAGTGAATCTAGCAACCTGATGACGTAGAAAAGAAAGCAGTAACAACCATTGAATGCACTTCATGCTTGAACCAGCATAGCTAAATGCCATGCCAACCAAGCGCATGAGGCACAAGATCCATTGCTGGAAAGCAGGGGCACGATGTCAGGGTCGTTGAGAAAGAGAACAGATGCCCTTCGTAACGTTTGTCTACTTTTGAGTTGCTTGATTACTGGGGGAGAGGGAGAGGAGAAGAGAGAAGGAAACGCATGCATAATGCCTTTCTTGCCAAACTGTTCTTTAATCTCGAATATCGAGCCGTGTTTCCTTACATACTTACCTAGCAACAATGATCAACCACTGAACCATCGCCTTGGGGACCTCCTCTCAGTCCGCGAGGCTTGGAACCCCACAGAGGGCAAGGCTCCCCAACCCATCGACACCTAGGCTCGCCACTGGACGGCTTGATGTTGGTGGAGGTAGGCCCTTGTTGGATACGGTATTTGCCAGGTTGCTATTCCCAAACCCCAGCTCTCCCACAGGCCCTCCTCCCTCTACCCTCCACTGCCCTCAAGTCACCCGAAACCTACCTGGTCTGGCCTAGCACATTTGAATAAGTTGGAAACACAATGGCAGGCATTCATTCCCAGGAAGCACAAAGGAGATAAAAAGTCTTACCAATTGTTAAAAGATTCAGTATAAAATCCTCGAACTAGCACCAATCCACCGTGTACGGGTTCAAACTCAGCAGGGAAGAAGCACGAAAAGCTCAGGATCGTTCCCCCAATGTAGCAGCTGCCAAAGCCCTGACGACAAGGCATGTGATGTGTATGGCTGTCACACGCATGCTCGTCCTCAGCAACTCGGCCTCCCCTTATCACACCTGGACACCAGTGAATGAGTTTCGCGAGTGCTCTAAAATCGGCGTTTTGTATACCCTCTAGAATGCAGCGAAATAATCTGCGTGACCGTGCTTCTTCATTTGTTGACGCCTCGTTATTAGTATCTCCCCTCAAGCGGGCTGCGGCCCTTGTCTCGGCAGAAAGTTGGTTTTCGAGGAGATCGGAGAGTCTCTTCCGGCAGTGCATCTGCCATAGTGATTCTTTGGCGATGCGATTCAGCGTTTTCGAAGCGCACGCCGTTCGCGCTATGACGCTAGGCCCCTCTGACTCGGCGCGCTGCAGAATATCATAGAGCAGGTCGGCTGGGAGAGATTCCATTGCGACCAAAGCTAGCGACACCGTAGCGAGGGGGAAATGACAGTGGCGACGAATGCAGAAGACAGAACCACGGAAATGTGGAATCTAAGGGTGATGGGTGTGACGCTGCGTTCCTACGGAAGGTGAAGCACTGCTGGCGGGAAGCGGTCCAAGGGGTGTAGCAGAGACAGCAGGAGCTCGTGGAAGCAACGATAAGGTTGCGGTTTGACGGATCCTACAGCCAGCCTGCGGAATTTGGCGATCAGGCTGGAATGCATTTCCGTGCCTAACCGCGCTGATGTGGCTCGGGACTTCATCAAGGCGACGAAAGGTTCGCCACACCGCGAGAACGCTGGCAGATTCTAGGGCCATAAAGAGCTACGAAGCAGGAACGGTAGTCAATTCCTCGATAGTTGCTGGGATCGTGCGGCTGACTAGAGGCTAACTTGGCGCCACTGAGAATTGTGGGTATCAACGGCAGAACAACTCTCGGGGGTGGCGGGAAATTTTCATTGAGAAGAAACCTAGGCACCTGCTTTAATGCAAATTCGTTTCGCTATTGCGTGATGTTAAACGACGAACTTGTTATTCCGGTGTACCACAGAATAGATAGTCGAGCAGAAAATCAACACACAAACATGTTATCTACTGCTAACTTTTTTCCAGAAACTGATAAGAATAATGTTCAAAACAATCCCCGGACGTTAATAGAACATCTTAGTAAGAGCCTTATGTGCATATATTTAGGTGATTACAAAACTTGCTTGTAGGCCTTTAAGAGCGTGCGTGCAGCAGAGCCTCCTTGAGCTCTCATCCCTCACACATGATCTGGGTGGCAACGGGTCAGGATTTCACGAGGGCACCCATCAGTTGCTGCTTGGGAGCGCGCGGCAGAGCCTCCTTGAGCTCTGCTGGATCCGTGCCCTCCAGCACCTGGTGCAGGAAGAGGTGGAATGCGGTGCAATTGGGTGTGGTGTGATGCAGGCAAACAACAACTGCACGTGCGATGTGATGCGAGCACGGTGTCTCATGTGTGCATCGCTCACGCCTTGCATCTACCATGCACCACCCATGCACCATTCATGCCCATGCCAGCAGTGGTAGTGTGAATGGCACCATCCAGTGCCATGCACAACAGTGCCATGCACAACAGTGCCAAGCACAATAGTGCCAAGCACAAGGGGCCAGTCCCACGAGTGTGTAGCTGTGAGGATGACACAGTTGCAGTGAAAAACACAGGACACACCCATGTGCATGCAAGCACTCCATGCAAACAATACCGATGCTTCACCTGCCAGCATGAGCACGCGTAGCACACCAGTGGCGGTGAGGAGGTTAACCTGGACCAGAGAGACACGCAGAGGGCAAAACTGCCGACGCCTTTGGCACGTGCCTTCTCCCCACGCAATCCCAAGGTGACTTTTGAGTCGACAAAAAAGTCACCTCGGGAGACACGCAGAGGGCACCACTGCTGCAAACGCCTTTGACAGGTGCCTTCTCCCCACACTATCACACCCAAGTGCATGCACGCAATCCATGCAATGCAATGCAAACACTCCTGATGCCTCACCTGCCAGCATGCGATGCGAGCAGCACGCCAGAGGGGTTGAGAATGACCCGATCCAGGGAGATGCGTGGAGGGCAAAGGCGCACACACCACTCGTACACACTCGGACACACTTACGCAAGCGAACACCCCATGGCAGTGGGTTCACCTGACAGCATGCGAGCAGCATGCCAGTGGCGGTGAGAATGACCCGGTCCAGCGAGACACACAGAGGGCACAGGCGCACACACCTTCAACACGTGCCTTCTCCACACACAACCACACCCATGTGCATGAAAGCACTCCATGCAAACACCACCGATGCTTCACCTGCCAGCACGCGAGCAGCACGCCAGTGGCGGTGAGAATGACCCGGTCCAGAGAGACCACGGCGGAAACAGGCGCTTGCTCACGCCCTTCACTGCCCGCACCTCGTCCGCTAGCTGGCAGGGTGTTGGGGGGGGAAGGGCAGTATATGGGTGGATGCGTGGGGAGCACAGGGGGGAAGGCGTGGGGTTGACGCTTGGAAAGGCAGGCACAGGCGCTTGCTCACGGCCTTCACTGCCCACACCATGCACCACGTCCACCAGCTTGCAGGAGTGCAGGAAAGTGGGGGAGGGAAGGAGAGGGGTAGGGCAGGTGGGAATGTTGAAACTGTGAAAGATTGAGTCATGGGGCAAAAGAGAGTGCAGCTTCATTCGACTGGCCGATCAGCTGTGCAGCTGTGTGCAGTAGGAACCAGCTGGTTTGCCTGTTTCAGCTCAGCACAACAGACAGCATCAGAATAAACTGTTTGAGCCTGCGTAAGGTCCCTGCTGTACTGCCATAGGTACGGCCATACCTGTTTGGCAGAGGCAGGTACGGGCGAGAGATGGTGTAAGCATGGAAGATGCTCATGTGGAAGGAGGTCTGGGTCCCGCAACCACACACCTGATGGGTGCAAGGGGGATGGGGATGGGTGCGGATGGGAGGAGGGGTGTGAGAAGCACCCAGGGGGAATAAGACTCTAGGTGTGAGTGGGCAGTGGAAGATGCTCATGGGTACACGCCAGGGTCCTGCAGCCACACACACGCCAGGGTTGGACAGGTGAGGAGAGGGGCAGGGGAGGCAGTGAAAGGAAAAAAGAACCATTAGATGGTGCAGGTTGAGTGGTGCAAGTTGAGTGGTGCAAGTTGAGTGGTGCAAGTTGAGTGGTGCAAGTGAGGAGCGAGGAAGATGCGTGTGTGGCAGGGATCGGGGTGATGCAGGCAGCCACACGCCTGGTGCGATGGTGAGACGAGGATGGGGATAGGTGGGGATTGGGGGAGCGGCAGGGGAGGCAGTGAAGGGAAAGAAAGAAATCACTAGATGGTGCAAGTTGAGTGGTGCAAGTGAGGCGTGGAGGTTTCTCATGGGGGGAATGAACCTCTAGAGGTGTGGGTTCGGCAGCCACATGCTTGAAGGGAGGGGTGGGAATGGATGGAGGGGTGGGGATGGATGGAGGGGTGGGGATGGATGGAGGGGTGGGGATGGAGGGAGGGGTGCTGCTGCCGAACCCAGACCTCTAAAGGGGAAAGTGAGAGAAGTCAAAGTGAGTGAGGCGTGGAAGGTGATAAGCCGCACATGTGGTGGAGAGCGGTGCACTGCTTTTGAGGCGCCCCAAAGGAGAGTGGTGCCCTGCAGGCTGCAGCCAGCCACTATCCCATGACCCTTTGCCCCACTAACCCCTCTGCTTTCCTCACACCTCCCACTCATTCCCGCCGCGCATCACCCAGCTCCTCAGAAGTGGTGCAAAACGATGCCCTTCACTGTCTCCTTGACATCGCCTTGAATCCCCCCACCTCCCACTCCCCACCCTCACATTTAACACACCTCACCTCCTCTCATCTCATTCCCCCTTCACGTCGCCACACCTCACCTCCTCTCATCCCCCCCCCTCACATCGCCGCGCCTCACCTGCTCGGAAGTGGTGCAGAAAAGTGGTGCAGAAAAGTGGTGCGGAATGGTGTCCTTCACCCTCTCTCTGACTCTCTACCCCACTAGTCCGCACCTCTTCCCATCCCCCCATCACATCGCCACGCCCCTGCTGCCGTGCAGCTGCAGTTGCGGAAAGCTGCCTCGACTTGACTGATGCGCTGCTGCTGCTCCTTCCTACGCTTCTCCGCCTCGTTTTGCTGCTGGGGCTGCTGTTGAGGCCGCTGCTGCGAGTGCTGCTGCCCCTGATCCTCGTTCATTGTATCTGGTCTTGAGGTTCGTCTCGCCGTCTAGGTTCATCGTTTCCACAAACGCGCGACCCGACGGGTCGCTAGACGCCAAAAGCACGATGTCGCACGGGACTGTCGTGTCCCCCCGTACATGCACCAGCTCTCCCACGCGAATGCTCTGCCACGTGGCAGCGCACCACTGGCCCCCGCGGTACACGAAGCACTCGCCCCCATTCTCCCGCGTGTCGGCGTGATGGCGTCGCCAATCCTCGAAGGCGTCTTCAAGATCGCGAGTTGAGGATGGTTGATTAAGACTAGGACGAGAAAGTAAACGTACGCGACGCGATGAAACTGCTCAAATAGGTTGCGAGGGAGGAAGGTTAGCAGCGTGTATTTACTCGTCCGGATGCGGTTATTAGCCAATCGAATTCTAAGGATCCTCCACCTCGCTAGCAGGCCCTCTCCGCCGTCCGATGCGTCTAGCTCGGCCTCTCTGATCGTACGGTCGAAATCGTCCACGTGAACGATGCGCTGTTGCGGTTTCTCGTGCGTCGTCGCCTGATCTGGAAGGATTGCGGGCGACGTTTCGGTCAAACGCGACGCGCTCTCTGACGATCGCAGCGCGTTTGGGGCGGCTGCTTTCATTTTGGCTGTGCTGTGACGGCGCATTGAGAGCTGAAATACGCGCGTCGTTCTGCTCATCAACGGCGCATCTGAACGGCGCATGGATTTGCCACGTGTTCAAGGTGGCGGTGTGGCGTTGCAATGGCCTCCAACGTTTCGATGCGCGCAACATTTCGTGCTACTCTGCACGTACGAAAACAGATTGGCCCGAAGGTAAGAACAAGCTTCATGTGCTTTTCTCTGCAAACTCTGAGAAACCGTTCGCCAAGAGCGGTGTGATTTAGAAACCAGTTCACGTAAGGACTTCAGCAGCAGCGACATTCCCAAGGTGTGTTCCATAAGCGCAGGGAACCGTGCTTCTGTCTGAATTGAAGGCTATGCTGCAGTAAATCAAGGAACATTATTTGCGGTGGAGAAAGTTTCTGTGCTTTTGAAAGCGGTTGTTTTGGATCCACCGCTTTGAACCGTGACCCACCAGTCTGAACCCAGTGATTCATGGGCTAGAAACGAACTTGTGGGACATGCCAGAAATGAGAGGGGTACCCAGCCAAACTTTGAGCAAGCCGAAATGTATCGGTGCCATCCATTTGCACATCGACGGTTCTGGTACATGGGTGAATGGGCTGGAACGTTCGTGACGTGACGTCACCAAAAGTGAAGGGGAAAATTGGGTGCGGTCTGACCGCTTTTTTTCCCGCGCGCCAGTCCCTGAAATACTGTACTACATTGATCCGACGTTGAGACTGTAGGGGCAGAGAGTTCATCGCGAGAAGTTGGGTTGGATCCAGCCAGCCTAGGGATTACCATGCCACAGCGAGCAGAGACTTTCATCCATCCCAACTCGTCACACCTGAAGCTGCTGCTCAACCCTAGACTCGCGACGTTTTTGGTCTTCGACCGCTTACATTAGTCCCATTTTATCAACTAGTCGAAATGGCTGCTGCATCATCGATCGGAGAGCTGTCAGACTGTCTTCTCTCCGTTATCCTCCATTTCGTCGGTCCATCCGACGGCCAGTTCCAGCACGCGCTCGTGTGCAAGAAATGGCATCGCATCGCCCGTAGCGTGCACGAGCACATCCACATTCGCGAAGAGCGTCGCAAACGTCCTCGCGAGCTGCTCGCGCACCTCTCGTCATTCCCAGGGCTTCGAAAGCTCGTCCTCGCCAACGGCAGCATCACGTCCGTCACTGACTCCCTCCTTTCGGGGATTGCCGACACGTGTCCAGATCTGACGGATCTTCACGTCGATAAGATGGATCGACGTTACAGACGCGGGGGGTTCACTGAGAACGGGCTTTCGTATCTCCTTGAGAAATGCACTCGGCTGGAGGGGCTTCATCTTGATTGTCAGTCAAATCTGACCGCCATTCCTGCTTCAATCGGTGCTGTGCCTTGCGTCACTCAAGAGCCTGCGCATCACCGACAGGGGGAGAATTACTCTCCTTCCGAACGCGTTCACCTCGTTACAGGCACTCGCGCATCTCGTGATTGAAATGCACGGCCTGGATGAACTGCCGCAGAACTTCGGCAATCTGAGGCTGCTCAAGTCCCTTCATCTCAACTGCCAGTGCCTCGTTTCCATTCCCGATTCTTTCGGGCAGCTTACCAACTTGACGCAACTTTCCATCAGTGGCTCCACAAGGCTTCAACTGCCCGAGTCCTTCACCCACCTTACATCGCTGCTGACCCTCGAAATTTCCAACTGCCAAGACCTTTTACCGCTGCCCGAGAGGTTCGGGAATCTGCCAGCGCTTGAAACCCTACGTCTGGAAAATGTGTGGGGGATCACAAATCTGCCCGCGAGTCTCGGGCAGCTGGCTTCTCTAACGGACCTTATCCTCGACCGCCTAGCACTCCACCATCTGCCTGACGACCTCGCTCTCCTCCCACGCCTACGCACGCTCAAGCTAGACGTTGGCATGGCCGTGCAGCTGCATCCCTCCGTATACCTCGCCACCACACTCAAAGAGCTCTCAATTGCGAAGTCTGAAACTCTACATTCTCTGCCCGAGGAATTCGGGCAGCTTACTGCCCTCGAGGCCCTGCGCCTAATTGAGCTTCCGCGGCTCAGCAGCCTGCCCGCGTCGCTTGGCGACCTGACGAGCCTCAAGGAGCTGAAAATATCCTTCTGCAGCCTGCTGACGCAGCTTCCAGACTCCCTCACTCTGCTTTCTTCCCTTGAGCTGCTGGAAATCAGTTACTGCCGCTACCTGACGGTGCTACCGCAGGGCATGGGGGATGGTCTGTGTAGCCTGCGCAGGCTGATTCTGCTCGAACCCAGGGCTCTCACCCATCTCCCTCCATCCTTCTCCAGCGTCTCCTCTCTTGAAACCCTACAAATCTGTCATGCACCCAGCTTACGAGGCGCGCTACCAAGCGAGTCCTCCCACATGACAAGCCTCAAGGAGCTGTATCTCTCCTCCCTGCCGCACCTGCCCGCCCTGCCCGCCTCCCTCCCTGCCATCGCCCGCACTCTCGCCAGCCTCGTGGTCATCAATTGCAAGGGAATTGAGGCGCTGCCAGAGGATATCGGACGGCTGGGATCGCTTGAAACTCTCCAGCTCAGCGACCTGCCCAATCTGAAGTCGCTCCCTCGGTCACTGTTTGAGCTGCAGCAATTGAAGTCTCTAACACTTTTTGGCTGCAGCGCGTTGGAGTCGCTGTTTGCGGATGAGGACACGGGGGATGAGGATTCGGGGGATGAGGACACGGGGGATGAGGATTTGGGGGATGAGGACACGGGGGATGAGGATTCGGGGGATGAGGACACGGGGGATGAGGACTCGGGGGATGAGGACACGGGGGATGAGGACTCGGGGGATGAGGACTCGGGGGATGAGGACACGGGGGATGCACACACGGGAGCTGCGCAGACGGGAGCTGTGCACACGGTGGATGCACTCACAGGAGCTGCGGGGCATGACCTTGCGGGGAGAGTCACTCGCCTCGAGTTAGTTTATCACATGGGTAGCAGCAGTGCCGCTGGCAGCTGTGGGGGATCCGAGGTGAATGGCACGGGTGTGTGGCTTCCATCCCTCGAGGTCCTTCGGCTTGTGAATCTTCCCTTGCAGCAGCTCGGTGCATCGCTGGGCTGCTTCCCATCGCTGACCAGGCTGGAGATCAGCGGCTTGAATCGGCTTCGCTTGCTCCCAGACTCCATCTCTCGCCTCTCTCGCTTGCAGTCACTCACAATCAGTTCTGCCGACAGCCTGGTAGCTCTGCCAGAGACAATAGGGCAGCTCTCAGCTCTCACATCCCTCTACCTTACCGATGCCATGACCTTGACTGCTCTGCCTGAGTCATTCGGGCAGCTGAAGAAGCTTCAGTCTTTTTCTATTGACAGCAGCCCGGGCCTAACCAGGCTTCCCGAGTCCTTCCCTGATCTCTGCAGACTGGAGTCGTGTTATCTGTGCGAGGTCGGAATCTCGTGCCTTCCAGGTGACTTCTGGAAGCTCTCTGCTTTGAAAGAACTCTCTCTGGTATCACTTCCCAAACTCCACACCCTGCCCGAAACTTTTTCGCAACTGCCCGGACTGGAGGACTTAGCCATGCGTGAGTGCAAGCGGCTGGCTCAGTTACCCGCGGGCCTGCAGCAGATGGGGAAGCTGCTGGCATGCGTTGTCAGCAGATGCCCGCTGCTGTCAAGACGGAGGATGGTGATATTTGGTACACCGAACCTGGACGAGGGAGAGCGGGCGGTGGGTGGCTCAGAGGAAGAAGATGAAGGGGAAGTGTGGATGGGGGAGGATTAGGTGACTGAGAGTGAATGGGAGGAAGGAGAAGGGGGTGAATGGGAGGATGGAGAGGATAGTGAAGGGTAGGGGAGTGTGGAACGGAGAAGGCGGTGGAGTGAGATGGAGATGTGGAGGACGAGAAAGGCTGAGGTTGCACTGCTGCATGCTAAGGTTGCACTGGTGCCATGTTAAGGTTGCACTGCTGCCATGCTAAGGTTGCATTGCTGTCATGCTAAGGTTGCATTGCTGTCATGCTAAGGTTGCATTGCTGTCATGCTAAGGTTGCACTGCTGTCATGCTAAGGTTGCACTGCAGCCTGCCTATGTCTCTCCACTGCTCTACCTTCCCCCCAATCTCCTCCTCCTCGCTGCCTTCCGCTCTACCCTCTCCTGCAACGACATGTCAACAGCCAACTTCACCGATGTCTCTTGACGCCACGCTGTCAGGCGCCCTCGATGAGCTGGCATCTGACCCCTCAATGAGCTGGCATCCGACCCCTCGATGAGCTGGCATCCGACCCCTCGATGAGCTGGCATCCGACCCCTCGATGAGCTGGCATCCGACCGGGGCTTGAGAGCAAAACCCTGGCAGGCAGGTTCTGCAAGATCTCCTCTCCATGGACAGCCGTTCGAAAGAATTCTGCTGCTGGGGCTTTGCAAACCAGATGTGCCTTTAAAGGGGCAAGCCAGAGGGTGGTGATCCATGGTACATCGAACCTGGACGAGGGAGAGCGTGCAGCGGGTGGCTCGGAGGAAGAAGATGAAGGGAAGTGCGGATGGGAGGTGGGAGGGGGGGGGGAGATGGGGAGGTGAGAGGGGGGGATGGGGAGGAGATGGAATTGAAGGATTTGGAGGATAGATAGGAAGTAGGAGAGGTGTCTAGCTTTCAGTGTCATTTCAACCATGTGAATATAATGAAGCGGTGTGGCTACTTTGTTGTAGCACACCCTGCATTTAGGCTATGGATTGGACCACGGCCAATTTGGGTTGCAAATACCGGTACCTAGACACTTGTGATGCGTCTTGTGTGTAAAAAAGTTAGAGCTGGGTCGAGTTAGGAAAATCAAACGACTTGAATTACGGTAGTCATGAAGGCCGAGTTGTCATTGCCACCAGTAACTTTGATAGAAGAGTCACTTGCTTGCTTGCCATGGCATCTCCTACATGCCTGAAAATACATACATGGTGGCAGCAAGTACAGTCGCATCACTACACCGGCAACCCTACATACAGTCACACACTGCTGCGCCCACCGCTGCACCACATCTACAGTCACGCGCTGCTGCGCCCACCGCTGCATCCCCACTTACACTCACACACCACTGCGCAGCCTCCCGAGAGCATCAGCATGCAGGGGGGTCTCCGGGACACACTTGTCCGGCAGAAAGGCATTGGTGGGGTGGAGCGAGTAGAAAGCAGCAGAGGCGGAGAAGCCTGACTGGGAGAGCACGTGGGCGTTGCAACCTGCCAGCACCAGCCAGTCTGCTACTATGTCCAAAAAAGCCTCCCTGCCCTCCGCCTCGCTACCTGCTGCTGTTGCTGCAGATGCTGCCACTGCCCCTGCTGCTGCTCCTTCCAGTACGGTTCCCGTATCTGATGCCGGTTCTGACTTGTTCTCGGTCAGCTTTCTTCCTGCTGTCACTGAGGCACGCCCAAGAGGTGAGAGCCCATGACCAATCAACGGCTCAGATTCTTTATTGCGTGCGGGCGACGTACGGACGGATGTAGACGGTGAGCCTGCTGGCAGGTCTCTGAGTTTTCTGACTGTAACGGTATCGAGTTGGTTTGTATGGAGCAGGTTGGAGTGGCGTGGTATGATGCTGGATGTTACCACCTGGAGTGTAGAGAGGAGGAGAACCAAGGAGGGTCACGTAAGGCAAGCAAAAAACCTTGGATGTAGAGGCAGAAGAAAAGTTGCGAGGGAATGCGGAGGCAGGGACGCAGTAACCGAGATGCATCATGTGTTGGAAAGAAGAATCAGTGAATTCATATTTGAGAGGCTGACAAAAAGTATCTCCAGACCTTGTGGGGGTATTTCCCCTTGAGCGCCAGTTTAAGCCGGGCAGAGTTGGTGACAAGCAGCCATCGCACGGAGAGGGAGGGCGACAGCCAGAAGCTCTCCACTGCCTGATAAGCGGGATAGGGGGGATAGAGGGGCTAGATGGGACAGGGATGGAGGGACGGGTGCTGCTTTGAGGCAACTCCAAAGCAGTCCCAAAGCCATCGCACGGAGAGGGAGGGCGACAGCCAGAAGCTCTCCACTGCCTGATGGGGAGGTGGAGGGATGGGGCGGGTGGAAGAGAGAGAGGGAGGGCTAGCAGGAGAGGGAGGGATGGGGAACGGGACGTGAGGGAGAGGGAGGGATGGGCCGCGAGTGGGGAATGAGACGTGAGGGCGAGGGGGTGCGTGGCAGGGAGAGGAAGAGGAATCCTCAAGGGATGTAAGCAGGCGTGGTGAAAGTAGACGAACCTGCTTGTGCTCCCACCTCTCTCCCTCCTATCCTTTCTTTCATCCCTCTTTCCTATTTCCCCCCTCCCCTTTTCCCTAACCACTCCCACCCTACCCCCTTCCCCCTTCCCCCACCATCGTACCTCACCGCACCTCGGCACAAGCCAGCCACTTCCACACGGCTTTCATCCATGCCGCCTGCTCCTCTGCTCCCATTGCCGCATTCGCCATAGTCACATTCGTCATAGTCACATTCCCTGTCGCCACCTCCTCTGCTGTTGCAGTCCCTGCTGAGTCGCCACCCTCCCCTTGTGTCTTCTGCCTCACATGCTCCTCCTGCCAAGCCACGTCAGCATCTGGAACCCGGATGTGCAATCCAATGGTCACCAGAGGTCCGGCATCCGAACCTGTTTCCAAGCCTGCCACCAGCTGCTGCTGCACCGCCTGCACTCGCGCCCATACCTCCTGGTTTGGCCTGGAATGAAAAACGCAGAACGAGGGGACCATATTAGATCAAGTCCCCCCCAGCCCCTCATCTCACCACTCATATCACAAGAGGAATAATCGTGGTAACCGTGTTGCTTACTTGAACAGGAACCTGAGAATGCAGCCGAACGCATAGGGTAACCGCATGCCCATGCCGTATAACCGCCGAGCCCTGCCAGCCGTCCACGGCCCTGCCAGCATCCTCGTCAGCATGCCCCGATTCCACCTCACCCGCACGTTCACCGCGTTCCGAGACAAGCCGCCCACTTTGCCGCCCGTTTTGCCACCGGCTTTCCCTTCCCCCTTGCCGCCCAGAAAGAACCAATCAGGGTTGGCGTTTCGATTCAGCAGATCTAGCAGTAGCACCTCCCCCGGTTGAACCTCCCCCTGCCACTCCTCCCACTGCTTCTTCTCCGATAGCTTATCGCGCAGGATGGTGCGGGCGGGGGAGAGGGGGACATCAGGGGAGAGAGTCCAATCGACGAGCGCTGGTTGGAAGGCCCACGGCAGGCACGCGTGGCGGATAAGGAAGGCGCGATCGTCCAATAGCGCGACGGCGAATGACGTGGCAAGGCCCACGAGTGAGTCACCGAGGCCCCCGCATTGGTCGAGCCAATCGTAGGTGAGGAAACGGAGGGGAGGGGGGCCGGTGGGGGAAGTAGAGGAGGAGTTGGTGGAGGGTAGTGGGGCTGACAGCGGTGCTGCTGCTGCTACTGGTGTATCTTCTCTTCCTCCTGCTTCTCCTGTCACTCCTGCATCTGCACCGTCAGCAGTGTGCGAAGCGGCGGTGCTGGTGGCGGCATATTGAGCAACGCTGGCAGTGCGGATGCGGGAGTGCAGAGCGGCGTAATCGGAGTGCCAGGAGCCGCAGAGGTGCGCGGGGAAGGCAGGGTCCAGCAGAGGGAGTAGAGCGGTGGGGGGGATGGGCGCGGCGCACTGTGGGCGGTTGGGGAAGAGGAGGGGGGAGAAGAAAAAAGAGGGAAGACAGGGAGGAGAGTCGTATATGAGTGGAAGTGAGCGCACGGGTCTGAGCGCACTCGTTCGCGAGCACCTGCTAATCCATCCCCATCAGCATCAGCATCAGCTGTAACGCCTGTGGGTCCACTCCACAGGCGTTATATATCAGCAGCAGCATGAGCATCAGAATCAGCATCAACATCAGCATCAGCATCAGCATGACGACGCCAAGGAGCAATTGCCACCGTGAATCGCGACGGGGATGTCGCCACGTGGCAGCGCCTAAACCTGCTGGAGGTTAAAGAGCAGCACATGAACACAATCTTCCTCGTGGCTTTTGGGATGTCTCACGGCTCGCGAGCAGCACACAGAGGCACTAGTTCATAGAGCCACTAGTTCACGGCACCTGCGGGTTCATCCCCATCAGCAGCAGCGTCGCGACGCCGAGGAGCCATCGCCGCCGTGATTGTCGCCGCGAATGCCGCCAGGCTTCGCACCGCGCTCGCAGCAGTAGCCGCATCGCATTCCGACGAATCGCGGAAGCGTTTTGGACTAGGCAGAGAGACGCTACACTGGGCGATTTCGACGTCTGGATTGCTTACTCTGCCTGCTCAAACGAGCGGCTCGTCATGGATTGGACGGCCTGCCGGACAACGATCGAGAAGACATGGATTGCCTTTTGAGGCGCCTAAAAAAAAATTCTGGAACAGAGTGCTCGGAAGACGAACGATTAGAGACTGAAGGTAGGCTCGAAAGCATAGAGGGTCGTAGCGAATGAAATGCGAGAGTGGAGTGGATTGGAAAGGCGAAGGAACGTGAGATGCGAGGAGGATAAGTGATGGTGCTGGGGAGTTTGTACCCTCTGCTGAGAAATCCGGTACAGATTTGTCAGGTACAAGGCAAACAGTAAATCTGTTTTTTGTTAGAGGCCGATCAATGCTCATCTTCAGGGTGCCACGTGCCTTGCTGCATTTCCACGGTCTTTTGGCCACGTGACAGCAGGTGGCACCTGCGTCAATCCATCGCATGCGCAGCATCTGTTGACGTGGTAAACCTCGGCATTTGTGACACAATCGCATTTCCTCAACTCCAATAAGGGCGCGCTGCACTTCTATTTTTTAATTCGAAAATGCTGAAGAAGATCGATCCAAATCCGAAGTTTTGGTGAAGTTCGGGTTACTGTGCGCTTGGCGTTTACTCAACAGAATTTTGTCTTGACTGAACAGTGTTACTGTTCAGGAAGTGCACCACGCTCGTGTTTTGCATGCGAACTTGAACACCATAGCGTCCCAAGCACGGGCAAACGATACTGCAGAATTCCCTGTCAAATGCTCGAACTTGACAGGGAAGTGCACCACCCCAAAAGGTGAACTCCAGTTGCGAAAAGGACGAAACACTCGCGACAAAAACGAAATAGTAACGACGGCTAGACGAAATGAGATGATTGGCTATACGACGACTACAGTGTACGTGCGACTTCATTTCGGTCGTATGGTTGGTAGGAGTTCGGGTTCCCCAGAAAAACAATCTTGGTGCACCTGACAAAGGGTGCCGTTATTCTGTGTTTTTGCATGTTCAAGCTCGAAAACACCGAAACGCGTGCAAGTTCGCCCAAAACCCGCTCCAAAGAATTATCGAATTAAAAATTAGAACTGCAGCGCGCCCTAAGCACATTCGAATTCCAGCTCCCCTCCACAAGAGCCGAAATTTGATGGCGTCGGACTGGCCGATCCGTTTCATCGGGAACCAAAAGCACAGCAGGTCTCCGTAGTTTCTCGGCCTTGCGATTCGGCTTCATAGCTTTCCTTCTTGCTTGCTTCTCTCTTCTCATTGACAGTTTTTTTTCGCTCTAAACGGTCGCATTTCAGTACCATCATAACCCGGTAGATCTCGAAGAGAGTCATGAATGCATGCGCGCTCAGCTTGTAACGCGCACTTCCTCTCAGTTCCGTGGACTGACTCCCACAGCGCGAATAATTTCCTCCCTTAGGCCCCCTCTCGCTCGTGACCGCTTAGATCTCCGCATCATTTGTCATCATCACCGCTTTACGGTTAGTTCTAACGACACTAGGACTGACTTGCTAGCGTCAGGCCTTCCGGTCAGCCCGAGCCGCCAGGATTCCATTTCGTTATTGTCACACTCCCGCACCATGGCGAGTCTGCTCGAGCGGACGGAGATCGGCGCGCTTGTATCGGAGAAGAGAGAAATTATATCTGTGCCCGACACCGCCACCGTGCTGGACGCTCTCGAGGTAACAGGGACTTGTTTCTGGCGGATTGCGGCGGGCATGCGCATAACGAAGCGGGTTGTAAGCATTGACTGGTTCATTCTTGCTTCGCCCTCCCCTGCGTCCCTTCTTCGCGTCCGTAACCCGCGCATCTCTTTTCATTACACCGCTTTCCCTGTCTCTAATCTTTATCCCTTCATCCCCCCATGTCTGTCCCCCCCCCCTCCCCCTCTCTCGTTCCCCCCTTCAACCTCTCTTTCCCTCTTCTCCTCCTCCGCTATTTCCCCCCTTTCTCCCCACCCTCCTCCTCTCCCTCTCCCTCCCCCCCTCCTCCCTCCTTTCTTTCCCCCTCCCCCCCAGCTGATGAACGCGAGCGGCATAGTGGCGCTGCCAGTGGCGGCACCGCCGGGGAAGTGGCTGGGGGCGGGCGGGGCGAACATAGTGGACGGGGAGAAGCAGTACATTGTGAGCAGGCTGTATGGATAGTAGAGTATTTGTGAATGTCTCTGCGCTGTGGCATGGTAGACGTGACAGGCACGTGACGAGGGGGAGATGTTTGATGTTGGGGAAACATCTCCTCCTCAACCGCCCTCTCCCTGGCGTTCGTCCTCTCCATCCAAAGCATCTGCTCGCCCATTCATCAGGGCGTGGTGAGCATGGCGGGCGTGGAAAAACACACTCGTTTTGACCCCCTCCTTTCTGCGCCCCCCTCTTCCCACCACCCTCCCTCCATCAGGGAGTGGTGAGCATGGCGGACGTGGCAATGCATCTGGTGAGGGAAGATGCACGACCAGCAGCGCTCAAGTCAGGTGTGGCGAGTCTCATCAGCAATTTCCCTTGTACTCGTCTGCTTCCCCTCTCTCCCACTTATCAGGGAGTGGTGAGCATGGCAGATGTAGCGATGCATCTAGTGAGGGAAGGTGCACGCCCAGCAGCGCTTAAGGCGGGAGTGGTGAGCCTCATCGGCAACTCGCCTGAAGGCCTCTCGCTCTGGGTCGCCTCCAGCTCCACGCCGTGAGTTGCTCCACGCCGTGAGTTGCTCCACGCCGTGAGTTGCTCCACGCCGTGAGTTGCTCCACGCCGTGAGTTGCTCCACGCCGTGAGTTGCTCCACGCCGTGAGTTGCTCCACGCCGTGAGTTGCTCCACGCCGTGAGTTGCTCCACGCCGTGAGTTGCTCCACGCCGTGAGTTGCTCCACGCCGTGAGTTGCTCCACGCCGTGAGTTGCTCCACGCCGTGAGTTGCTCCACGCCGTGAGTTGCTCCACGCCGTGAGTTGCTCCACGCCGTGAGTTGCTCCACGCCGTGAGTTGCTCCACGCCGTGAGTTGCTCCACGCCGTGAGTTGCTCCACGCCGTGAGTTGCTCCACGCCGTGAGTTGCTCCACGCCGTGAGTTGCTCCACGCCGTGAGTTGCTCCACGCCGTGAGTTGCTCCACGCCGTGAGTTGCTCCACGCCGTGAGTTGCTCCACGCCGTGAGTTGCTCCACGCCGTGAGTTGCTCCACGCCGTGAGTTGCTCCACGCCGTGAGTTGCTCCACGCCGTGAGTTGCTCCACGCCGTGAGTTGCTAGTTGTGGGTCTCATCATCCCTGCCACTCGTGTCCCCCCGTGAGTAGCGACTTGCGAGTCCAGAGTCTCATTGCTGCACCTTGCTGCCCCTCGTGTCCCCTCGTTGTGTGCTCACCCTCATCCACAACTCGCCCCAGAATTCCTTTCTTTGAGTCGCAAAATAAATTAGCCTCTTTTTTTTACCCTAACCCATCCTCCCCTGCACTCCATCCATCCTACTCTCCTCCCCTACCCTACACCCTCCCAGTCTAGTTGACGCCATGGAGCCGCTAAGCAAGGGCATTCACAGGCTGCTCGTGCGTTGCCCCATCGCCGCCGCTGCTTCCATCCCCCAACACGCGCCCTCATCTGCCGCGCCTCCCACTGCCATGACCTTTGGCCACACCACACCCGGCTCTCCAGAGACGCAGGAAACACCGGCAGGAGGAGCAGCAGAAACTGCAGAAGCAGCAACAGCAGGAGGAGAAGCAGGAGCAGCGGAAGCAGCAGATGCTGCTAGGCCGGCAACAGGAGCAGAAACAGCAGCAGAAGCTCCCAAGCACACCTACCACTTCGTCTCGCAGACTGACGTGGCAGCCTTCCTGCTGCTCCACGTGGACGCCCTGGGTGACGTGGCACAGTGCACAGTGGAGCAGCTAGGCCTCGCGGACCCGCTCTTCCCGCCCCTCGCTATAGTGTCGGGCATTACAGTCACTGACGCGCTCAGGCTCATGCAGCGCGCGGGAGGTGTGCGAGCGGTGGCGGTGGTGGCGGGGAGTGCGGAGGAGGAGGAGCGCATGGAGGAGGGCGAGGGCTCCGGTGCTGCTTCTGCTGCTGGCACTGACGTGGCAGGAGGAGGAAGGAGAGGAGTAGTGGGTAGGGGAGGGGGGGGGAGGGAGCGGAGAGAAGCGGGGTGGGTGAGGGGGGGGCGGCTGCTTGGGACTTTGTCAGTGACGGATCTGAGAGGCATGGACGCCGAGACGCTAGCACAGCTCACTTCCATGAAGGTGAGGGATGCTTCACGCACGTGTGTTGCTGCCAAGTGTATGGTCGGATGCGGGGCGCGTGCCACTTGTGCGCCGTGTTGATTGTGGGTGTCGTCTGGGGAGGCATGGATGGGAAGGGTTGGCTCGCATGCATGAAGGGTGGGAGATGGGTGGTGCAAGGTGGGTGAGGGGCGAGGCATGAGAGTCAGCGGTGCTGCGGTGCACACGACACGAGAAAGGTGGTAACTCTTTTACTGTTTACGCCTGATACTTGAAGCACCAATCTTACGTGCTCCACATCTCCTCTGCTGTTCCCTTTGCTTCTCACTACCATCTCCCAACCCTTCAGGTGCGGGACTTCCTCGCCCACATGGCGTCACTCTCCCCCGAGGGTCGCCGCCCGTCCATCACGTGTCGCATGTCGGCCCCTCTGGCGGAGGTGATGGCGCTGGCAGTGACCAACCGCGTGCACCGCGTGTGGGTCACTGGGGAGGACGATGAGCTGTTGGGTGTGGTTTCGCTCACTGACGTTATCTCGGCTTGCAGACGGGCGGGAGGGCAGCGGTAGGGGGCGACAGGGAGGAGTGATAAACGGGGAACTGGATGGCAGAGGCGATAAAAGGCCGGGGCGCTAGTGGTTGGAGGAGAGAAGGCATGAGTGGTGGTGGTGATGGCGCTGGCAGTGACCAACCGCGTGCACTGCGTGTGGTGTGGGTGACCGGGGAGGAGGATGAGCTGCTGGGGCTTGTGTCTTTGACAGATGCCATTTCTGCTTGCAGACGGGCGGGTGGGCAGCGGTAGACAGGTGGTGAGTGCTAGATAGGAGGCATATACAGGGGAATGGAGTAGGATGGGTGGATTGGACAGGGGAATGGATGGAAGGGCGGGGGGATGATGGGCCACGGGGGAGGATGATGAGCTGCTGGGTGTTGTGTCGCTCTCCGATGGCATCACTGCTTGTAGGGAGGCGGGCGGCAGGGTGGCAGGGCGGCAGGGCGGCAGGGCGGCAGGGCGGCAGGGCGGCAGGGCGGCAGGGCGGCAGGGCAGCAGGGCGGCAGGGAGGAGGGATACAGGGGGAGATGGAAGCAGGCCTCGGGAGATCCTCCCCTGCTCTGGACTGGGGTGGGTGGAGTGGCTGGTGGGGGCGGTGGAAGGGTGGGATACTGGTGGTTGGTGGGAAAGGCACATGGAAGCTCAAAGCGCCTTGAGAGATTGGAGTTGCGATGCTTGCTGGCGCTCTTGTGGCATGCACAAGGGTGGTGGGAGAGGAGTGGGTGGCAGCAGCGGCACAGCACATTGATGGTCGGTAGGGCATGCTAATTGTTTCACTCGACAACATTAGATAGAATAGGACTGCTGTACATCTTCCAGACGCACCTGAAGTGTACCCAACCCACATACATCTTCCCAGATTTTCATTTGCTGCCAGTATGGCGTGGCGGCATCACCAGTACCACCGTACGTAAAGATGTCTGCATAGCATGGGTAGTGCACAGTTTCCCCCAAGTGTATGTGCTTTCCTTGTTTAGTCCATGCCCAGCTATTGTATCGGTATCAGGCCCTCAGATTGGTTTGGGGGTACACTGAGGCCTCAGGGCAGTTTTTAGGAAATCAGAATTTGCCCTGAATTGTCAGGGCTGCAAAGGGTTATGTATCCTGAAATGTCAGTGCGAAATTTGACTGTATCCTGGCAGTTCAGTGCTACATTTCGTACAGCCCTGTACGTTTCGCGCGTGTTATGTTAGCGGGGGTCGAAATGCTCTCCACATTCGAAGTGTGTGATGCTGGGGTGCACTACATAAAGAAATAGCACGAGAAAAATTATTCTGCCAATTATCTCACGTGAAGTGTCATAGTTCGTGAGGTGCCAGTCTGTAACGCAGGAGGTCTCCGGCTCGATTCCCGCTGCCTTCGAGAGGTCTGTTCGGGGTGCACGCCCTAGTCCACTTTTAGGCCCCGAAACCTAGGAGAGGTTTGGTACAGTACATCTCGCTTCAGGGCGAGATTCGACACTATCCTGAGTCGTCAGGGCCGAACCTACAGGGTTATCCTGAAGTTTCAGTACGCAATATAACCATTATACTGATCTTACAGGACAAGATATTCCCTCATGCTGTTTTTTCAAGAGAAGCACACGTTACCTATCTTGAATTCAGGAGAATCAGGATAAATTATCCTGATAACATAGGCCCTGATCGGTATGGCATGGCAATACAACGATTTCGGTAAGTGAGGGACCTTGTTATCATCAGACACTGTTGGAGAAGAAACTACGGTATGATGATTTAAAGTCAGAAGGCATCAATAGACAGGTCACAGCACTAGAGTTGTTTGTGATGTACCCACAAGAGAAATACCAACTGCAAGGCCCTGTGAGACACTATGTACCAGCAGAGACTTGATGACAAACACGTAACTGATGAAACACCATGTCAGAATGAAGAATGGATGATGCATTGATGTTGGTTGGGGTACATATAGCTAACCCTAAGTTTTGTACCCCCTAAGACAAACCTCACTATAGGCTACAACATTTGACACACCCCCATAGCCTAAGTGAGGGGTGTCTAGCAGAACCAAACGAGTACGGTCACAAGACCAGTCCAAGAAACAAAGCTCAGGGTGGATCACAACGTCACCACACAGTCTGAGCACAAACAACAGTGGCCACAAGGCCAGTCCAAGAAGTAACAGAGATATATAGAAAGCAAAGTAAACAGTACACTCAAGTCTAAGCAACACGAGAACCAGTGTCAACAAGGCCTAACTGCACACAGCACCTCTGGTGGTCACAAGGCGGAAGCGCCTTGGTGAAGATGTCTGCAGTGTTGGCCTCGGACTCCACAAACTCAAAGCGAGCCTGTCCACGCCTCTGCAACTCTCGAAGAAGAAAGTACCTGACGTGAATGTGCTTCACTCTGCTCTCCAGTCGTGGCTCTCGACAAAGGAGAATAGACGCCTTGTTGTCAGTGAACAAGGTCGGTGCAGAGCTCGGCCGCTCACCAAGGTCGGTGAGCAAGAAGGTCAACCAACGCAGCTCCTGTGCCGCCATGGCACCAGCGTAGATCTCAGCCTCAGCTGTAGAGGTCGAGACCGAAGAGGAGCGCGTGGACCGCCAGGAAACAGCTCCAGAACCCAGGCTGAAACAGTACCCCTGAGTAGACCTGTGAGTCTCAGCGTCGTCAGCGTAAGAGGAGTCACAGTGACCAGTAAGTACGACAGACTGCTGTCCTCCAAGAACTAGCCCCACGCCTGATGTCGTCGCTAGGTACTTCGCCACCCTCACAGCTGCTGTCCAGTGAACAGGACGGTGTCTCCCTGGCGCAACAAAGCGCGCAAGAACGCTGAGAGGGAAGGCGAGGTCCGGGCGAGTACAAGTCATCAGGTACATGAGGCAACCCACAAGCTCTGCGTAGGGACCACTAGGCTCGAACGGCTCGTCAGGAAAGGGTCCAGTGAGTCTGTGGTCAACAGCAAGAGGTGTGCGCTGTACTGTGGAGTGCTGAAGCCCGAACCGCTGAAGGACCTGCTGCACCATGTGCGACTGTGAAAGTGTAATGGTGCGAGCAGCTCTGTCCCTGGTGATCTGCAGGCCAAGGTAGTGGCGCAGCTCACCAAGATCAGTGCAGGTGTGTCTCTTCTGCAGTTCGGACTTCACGTGTGCCAAAGCAACCCTGTCAGGGGTGGCGAAAACAAGGTCGTCAACGTAGACCAGAACAAAGAAAGGTGTGGTGCCACGACGAACGAACAGCGACGGGTCAGCAGAAGACGGCTGGAACCCAAGGTCAGACAGGGTAGAACGCAGGGTGTCGTGCCACTCACGAGGAGCCTGACGAAGACCGTAAACCGGTCGCCTCAGCCTCCACTGGGTCCCAGGAGGGAAAGTGCCAGTGAAGGCAGAGGGACGACGCAACCAGACCTCCTCGTGAAGACTGCCCTGAAGGAAAGCAGTAGAGAAGTCAAGAGAGTGTAACTCGTAGTCTCTCTGTGCTGCTACGTGTAGTAACACCCGAAGAGTGGTCATCTTCAGGGTGGGCGCGAAGGTCTGAAAGAAGTCAACTCCCTCGCGCTGACTGAAACCTCTAGCCACGTAGCGCGCCTTGAAGACCGGAGGAGATCCCGGTGGCCGCTTCACCCTGTAGATCCACATGCCGTCGACTACGTTCGCCCCCGGAGGGGGAACCTCATCGACGTAGGTGCCTGTGGATCTGTAGGAGGCCATCTCTGCGTCCATGGCAGCTCTCCACTGAGAGGCCCAAGGCCCTGACACTGCCTCAGCGTAAGTGCGAGGAGTCGGAATGTCAAGGGCGTCGGGGTCACCCTCAGGGGCGAGGAGCATGGCACAGAGATGAGGGGAAGCGGCCGCCAGGAACTCTAGCTCAAACTGCCTGTCCTCTAGGGCGTCACTGCCAAGGGCAGACACACCCCCGACGGCTAGAGGACTGGAAGGAGGAGCAGCCACAAGAGCGGTGGCGAAGTCAAGGCGGCGGGTAGAGGCAAACTCAGTGACTGCGGCAGTAAGAGCGGACACAGAGGACACAGAGGCACGAGGGTGGGTAACAAGAGAGGCGAGAACACGAGAGAGAACAGGACGGTACGTGCGGTAGTAGTCAGTGACAGGAGAAGGAAGCGACACAGTGAGGGCCGACTCAGGAGGAGACGGAAGCACAGACGGAGACGGACGAGGTGGACGAGAACAAAGGAAGGCTGTACGAAGGTCAGTGAAGGGAACAGGAGACGAGGGACGAGCACGAGGGGAGCGACGAGAGGCCCAAGTCTGAGAAGGAGGAGGAGACAACGAAGACTGAGGACGAGGGAAAACAGCGGGAGAGGGGTCAGGAGGAGGAAGCGGAGGACCAGAGACGGGAGGAGAGGGGGAGGAGGAAGGAGAGGGAGACGGGAGACCAAGGGTCCGAAGACCCGAGACAGGAGGAGGAGACGGCAGCAGCTGCTGCTGCTGCTGCTGCGGCTGCTGCGGCTGCTGCGGCTGCTGCTGCTCCAGCGGCTGCTGCCCCTGCTGCTGTCGCTCCTGCTCCTCGAGCCGCTGCAACTCTCTCTCCTCTCTCTCCAACTCCAGCTGCTCCTCACGAGCACGGCGAACACGAGCCTGGAACCTGGTCGGGTAGGGGTGGGGGGAAGGAGTAGTGTCCGGGGCAGCCCCAGAGTCGACCTCCGAAGCACCAAGCACACCACCCCCAGAGGCAGCACCAACACCAGCTCCAGACCCAGGCTCTCCAGAAACCGAAGGGACACCCTCACCCCCAGACGCAGCACCCCCAGACTCCGCACCAGCACCCCCAGACTCCGCACGACCAGTACCAGCCCCCGGAAGACAAGAGTCCTCTGCAACCCGCGGCTCAGCTCCAACTCCAGCACCCCCAGAACCAGAGACCTGTACAGGGACAGTCGCAGGACCAACCTCTCGAGAGGGAGCACCTGCAGGAGGCGGCGAGGAAGACTGTGGGGAGGGAGGCTGTACAGGGGGGGCTACCGAAGGGGGAGGGCTAGCCTGAGACACACCAGACGGGGCTGGACCAGGGGGGGAGGCTGTACCGGGGGAGCAGGCGGGGGAGCGGCGGTCAGGAAGAGAGGGGGGGGAGGGACCGGGAGACCTCGACTGGGGTACCTGACGTAGTAGGGGGTGGACTCCTCGAAACGGACGTCACGGGAGTCAAAGAACCGGTGAGAGGGAGGGTGGTAAAAGGTGAAGTCAGAGGAGTCCTCAGGGAAACCAAGGAAGACACAAGGAACGGCGCGAGGCGAGAGCTTGTCCGCGGAGGTGTCGCGGACAAGAGCCAAGCACCCCCAGACACGAAACCTCGACGCGACACCAGGGGACCCTGTCCAAAGACTGGTCGGTGAAGCCTCCGGCCGAGAGACGCGTGGCCAGAGGTTCAGCTGGTGCGCGGCGTACCTGACCGCGTATGGCCACAGGAAATGGGGGGCACGGGCGTGAGTCAAGGAGGTGCGGGCAATCTCCATGACCAGGCCTATGCGACGCTCAGCAACCCCATTCTGCTGTGGGGACTCCGGAAGCGTCCAGGACTGACGAATGCCCTGTTCGCGACAGAATCCAGCGAGAATGCCGGAGCGAAACTCGCCCCCGCGGTCGGAGTGGAGACAGCTGACACGACGACCACGAGTGTCCTGGGTGGTAAGCAACCACCTGATCAGCGTAGAAGTCACCTCAGACTTCCTCGCCAGGGGGAACACTGTGGTGTAGCGGGAGTAGTCGTCAACGACCACCAAAAAGAAACGCTCACGCTCAGGGCCAGGGCGAGGAGAGGGGCCCCAGACGTCCAAGTGCAGTGTCTCAAAAGGCTCGGTGGCCGGACGAAGGGAGGAGGAGTGAGGGGTGGCGCGCAGCCTACCCTCGACGCAAGGACCGCACGGTGGTGCAAGGGACGGCGGCAGCGACAGCTCCTGCAGGTGCGGCGGCGACGAGCGCGGTCGCGAGCGACAGTGGCGGGCGCTGCGGGACGGGCGACTCGACGGGGGGAGAGGGCAGGAGCGACGGGACAGGGGGAGGGCGACGTGACGGGGGGAAAGGGGTGGGTGCGACGGGACAGGGGGAAGGCGACGTGACGGGGGGAAAGGGGCGGGTGCGACGGGACAGGGGGAGGGCGACGTGACGGGGGGAAAGGGGCGGGTGCGACGGGACAGGGGGAAGGCGACGTGACGGGGGGAAAGGGGCGGGTGCGACGGGACAGGGGGAAGGCGACACGACGGGGGGAAAGGGGGGGGGGGCGCGACGGGACAGGGGGAAGGCGACACGGCGGGGGGAAGGCGCGGACGCGACGCGACGGGGGGAGCGCGACGCGACAGGGGGAAAGGGACGGGCGCGACTCGAGGGGGGGGGAAAGGCGACGCGAAGGGGGGGGGGGGGGCTACGCTACGAACGAGAGCGTGGCTCGGCGCTAGGCTCGGTAACAACGAGAAGGAGACGAACGAGAGCTAGGATCAGGCTCGGGTGGTACGAACGGAGAACGGCGGAACGGGATCCCACAGGATCCTAACCTAACTGATACCATGTCAGAATGAAGAATGGATGATGCATTGATGTTGGTTGGGGTACATATAGCTAACCCTAAGTTTTGTACCCCCTAAGACAAACCTCACTATAGGCTACAACATTTGACACGCCAGTCTTGATCAAACAAAAAGGCTGATGTTGACATGATGATTTCACATGTAATGATGCCATCATGGACTCGAGCCATCACACACGTCATGTCTCAACTTGCGCCTTGGTTGTTCTCCGTCTCATCGCAGATACACAAACACCACAGCAGTAGCAGCAGAAGTGGTAGGTTATTCAGACGCTGCGAGTGCTGTGATGTCAGTCAGTGCTGAAGAGCAGATAATGCATGTCGTGAGGTGCTCAAAGCAGGAGCATGCTTATCCCTTGCTGGGCACAGGGAGCTATAGTACGATTGCAGGAAGGGGAGGAGAGTCGATTGCACCATTGGCATCAGCATGAGTTCCACCAGCAACAGTAGCGCGGGTTGCAGCAGCAGCAGCAGCCAGATTTGCTGAGGAAGCAGGAGCACGAGCAGAAGCAGCAGCAGCCGCACGATTTGCACGGGCAGCAGTAGCACGAGCAGCAGCAACCACAGAAGCACGAGTTACATGGGCAGCAGCACTAGTTCCAGCAGCAACAGCAGCACGAGTCGGGACACGAGTTGCACGAAAGGAAGGAGCACGCGCAGCAGCAGCAACACGATTTGCACGGGCTGCAGCAGCGCGTGCAGCAGCAACAGCAGTACCACGATTAGCAGCAGAGGAAAGAGTTGCAGCAGGAGCAGTGGCACGTGTTGCTGCACCAGCAGCATTCGCGCTATTTGCATGAGCCGCAGCAGGAGAAGTGGCATGAGTTGGACCCGCACGAGCAGTTGTAACAGCAGGAGCACGAGTTGCACCAGCACGAGCAACAAGGGTGGCAGCAGCAGCTGCTGCAGCAGGAGGAGGTGCAGTAGGAGCAGCAGGAGGAGGTGCAGTAGGAGCAGCAGGAAGAGGTGCAGTAGGAGCAGCAGGAAGAGGTGCAGTAGGAGCAGCAGGAAGAGCGGCAGCAGGAGCAGCAGCAGGAGCAGCAGGAGGAGCAGCAGCAGGAGCAGCAGCAGGAGCAGCAGCAGGAGCAGCAGCAGGAGCAGCAGCAGAAGCGGCATTTTCTTCTGCAGCTGGTGGTCCATCCATGAGGGATCTGTCACGACGGTTCTGGCCAAAAAAAAAAAAAACAGCAAGGGTGCAAGAAGCAAATGGGAATGGTAAGGGAAGGGTGTCGAACGTACACACGAAAAAAGTACCATTCACATCTCCAAAACAACTATGTGTAAAAATGCTTAAGCAAAAGCATTAGCGATGTGGTGCTGCAGAAGTGCAACAATAGAAACAAGTATTGGTTCTTGATTGTAACAGCATACTTGTCTCCCACATAAAAAGCAGTTACAGTACCCCCTTTCCACGTGGCGGACATAATAGACACATTACAGCAACCACCACACCACAACAAACCAGGCTGGCAGCAAATTGGTGGAAAATATCACCTCGATGACGACTTGTCCGACTTCAGGTTCCTTGCGCCACACATCCAGCACACGATACAGCAGCTTTCGACGATCGATCTCGGCTCCAGCCTCCAACCACAGGTGAACAGGCGACTCAATTGGAACAACCCCCTCCATAGGAGGATATGGCCTGTCAGTTGTCCTAAATATTCCGTAAACATGACCCTGAAGGGACAATCGTAGAAAAAACAAAGCGAAGTTAATCCAAACCCGAAGAAATACACAAAAAACATAGAGCAGCACGTTCAAGAGTGTGTGTGTGTGCGTGCGTGCGTGCGTGTGTGTGTGTGCATGTGTCTCGGTGTCTGTGAGAGAGAGTGGGTGAGAGAGAGGGGAAGAGAGAAAAGAGAGGGATAACGGAGAGCGGAGGAGAGGTCAGCAGGATTGCAGTTGCGTGCATGTACCTTGGTGCAATAGTAGTTAACAACTGTAGGAAGCTTAAAAACATTCTTGGTGTTATTATTGAAATAGAGGATGGTCCTTAGCGCATTGTCCGCTTGATGGAGTTCGACAACCTGCCAAATACATAATTCAGTCACTCATTGTTGCATAGAGAGAAAAGGAGAAAACACGGTATAAAAAGTCATCCAATGAAAGCACATATTGATTTTCACAGCCTTACCAGGTGCTGGATTCAATGCAAAGGAAGGTATGCTATGCTCTGAACTTACTTGGGATTCGCATAATGGACAAAATTCGTCTTCTACGAAGGACTTGGCACAATCGGTAAACATCCTGTTGGAAAGGAAGTGAGAAATGTGGCTTGTAACACAGAGCATGGACGTGAATCTAATTACACTGGGCTCTAAGGTGGCGTGGTGCCATGCACGGGCTCTGATCCCACTACAGGGCTCGAAACTGGCCCCTGATCCAAACGTTAAAAGCTCCCGTGACACACACCCACACGGCCTTTAAAGCGATTAGGGAAAAAATGGAGCTTACTGTGAGCTTACGAAATCAGGCGAATATCCTTGCACGCTATAAGTGCCCAAATCGTCGAGCACTGTCTCAGATTTCTGGCACATGCAAGGATCTGAAAACACAAACTGGCAATCATTGAGCAGGGTTAGCACACAGGAAGGCGAGCGCACGTGAGGTCCGCCACGAGCGTGCTCTTCCGTGTCAGGCACGGCTTGCCAATCATCAGAAGCCGTGTTGTCACTGTCGCGAGCATTCTCATCCCTCCATGGTTTAGATTCCCTCCCTCGCAAAAGCGCGCGCCGTACACCAGGACACCAATTTAGCAACTTCCCAAAAGCTTTGATATCATTGCATTTCATAGCGTTCACCATGTTCTGAAATCTCTCAAGATCGAACGTGTCAGCTGAACCCTTTAATTCGACTTTCCTTGCCAGCTGGTCACGGCAGTGCCAGTACCACAGCTGCTCGTCCGCCATACGTCTGAACTTGTTTGACAGACACGCGATTCGAGCAATGAGTGGTCCCGTCGGTTGAGCACGCTCGAGAATGTCATAAACGAGTTCAGCGGGAAGAAGCTCCATTTCGCTCGAATCTATTTAGCAAAGAGGTTCTGAGCTGAGGAGGAACGAAAGGCTGCTGAAGATGATCGGAAAAGGCTGAGGCTAAAGTGGAGGAGAGGGTTCTACTGCCAAAGATGAGAGCAGTCGAGGGAAACTGTGCCTGACAGGCAATCCGACAGGGCATTGTCCCCATCGCCCGGGGAAGTACCTAGCTCCGACAATACCTAGGTGGCTATCGTCTAAAAGTGCGAACGGGATGACGATTCTTTGGGCCATTGAGACCTTCGATGCGCGAGTAATGACCTCGACGTTCTACTCGGGAAAAGCTAATCTCGATGCTGGAACCAAGGAGAACTATCTCGAGAATTGAATCAGCTACTCTGAAATGATATGCACTTCGAACCTGTACTGACTACTGGGACGGGTTTGGCCTGGGTGTATGAGCTTGAGAACTGCGTTCGCAGCCTTGCGAAAGCAACCTCTTGCGGGGAACCCGAGGCATGAGAGTTTGAGCGAAATGGTTGGCGAAAAACTTGATGGGCGAGGTTTACGTGGGGATTGCGGATCCCGTCTGAAAGTAATTCGTATTACACGTATAGTCATGTTTCCTTGTATTTCTTATGCTCTTGTTCTCCTAACATCTCCAAGGGTGAGCTTCTCACGGGATGAGGTAATGACCAACTGCATAACTCCGATGATCTATTTCCTCCAGCGTAGTTTCCTTCTCAGCTTCGCGAGTCGGCTTCTTAGCAGACAGGCCTTCGCTCCTTTCTTCTCATTCAAAAGTTCTATTTCCCTTTTCACTCACTCACGTTCGCATTTCAGTTGCGCAATAGCACGCTAGCTCTTTAAGTCAGTGGCGTATGCGTGCGCGCTTCCTTTCAGTTTCCTGAATTCCCCGAGCGCGTAAATTTTCCTTCCATAAGCTTCCTCTCGCTCGTTACCGCCCGCTTCATTCATCACCATCGCGTTGATAATTCTGACGACACCTGGAGTGACTTACAAGCATTAAGCGTTTCGGTCAGTTCGATTCGCCAGGATGCCTTTTCGTTATTGTCACACTCCGGTACCTTGGCGAGACTTCTCGAGCGGACGGAGATCGGCGTGCTTGTATTGGAAAAGAGGGAGATTCTATCGGTGCCTGATACCGCCACCGTGCTGGACGCTCTCGAGGTAGGACATGCTGCGGTGAGTTGGTACAGACGTGGTTATAACGAGGCGTTTAGTGAATCATTTGTACACGCACACCACTGTTCGCTCTTGCTTCTCCCTCTCCCGCGTCCCTCCCCGCGTCCCTTCGCTCTTCCCTTCTTTCCCCGTGCATCCCATTTCCTTGCTCCACTCTCTCCCTTTCTTCCGCGCATCCCCCAATATCCGTACCCCCCCTCCCCCTCTTCCTCCACTCCTCCTTTCCCCCTCCCCCCTCTCTCTCCCCCCAGCTGATGGACGCGAGCGGCATAGTGGCGTTGCCAGTGGCAGCACCGCCGGGGAAGTGATTGTGATTGGGGGCGGGCGGAGCCAACATTGTGGGCGGAGAGAAGCAGTACATTGTGAGCTTATAACGAGTTGATTGTGATTGTGTGCTCATAACGAGTGGCTTGTGATTGTGTCCTTATAACGAGTCGCTTGTGATTGTGTGCACATAACGAGTTGCTTGTGATTATGTGCTTATAACGAGTCGCTGTTGAGTGTGAGTGGCAGTGTGAGCTGGTACATCTAGGAGGGGAAGGAGCAGTACATTGTGAGCTCGTAACAGCAGCTTATAACGAGTCACGGCAGGTGGTAGCATTTGTAAGTTCCAACAAATTACTTTGTGTGGGGTTTCCTGTACGCAGCAGTTGTGGTCCAGTAGTTGATGGTAAAACACACTCGCACGCTGCACTGATGTACCAAACCAACAAGTACGAGCTGTGATGGGTCTACGCTGAGGAGTTCTGCAGTGCTTCCCTTCCTTCTCCCCGTCCGTCCGTCCTCTGCTGCGCTGTGGCATGGTAGACAAGGGAGGGGGAGAGAGACGTATTGTTCTTTGTCATGCTTCTTCCTATTTGTTGTTGCAATCGTTTATCGAGAGCTCTGAAAAAACGACTACAAGTCGGCAGGGCACGCAACAAAGGGGTGAGAGACGCATTATCCTCTCTTCAATGATGCCACGCACGCCTCGCTACTCTCTGTCACTTCCCTTGCTTCGCCCCCAAATTTCTTCTCAAATAGGGAGTGGTGAGCATGGCGGATGTAGCGATGCATGTGGTGAGGGGGGCGATACATGCTCCTAGGCAGGGTGGGGGGGGGGGACGGCTGCTGGGGTCTCTGACAGTGTCGGATTTGAGAGGCATGGACGCGGAGACTCTAGCTCAGCTCACTTCCATGAAGGTGAGGGTTGCTTTACGCACGTGCGCTGCTGATACATGAATGCTTGAATGCCGTGCATGTAGCCATACCTCACCTCACATCACACCACCTGTTGAGGCGCCTCGCCTCAGAAGGTGAACATGCGCTACGAACCTGTGCTTGAATGCTTCAATGACGTGCATCCGTTCCTACTTCCTGCTACAGTTGCGGGACTTCCACGCGCACATGGCGTCACTCTCTCCAGAGGGCCGCCGTCCGTCCATAACGTGCCGCATGGCGGCGCCGCTAGCCGAGGTGATGGCTCTGGCAGTGACCAACCGCGTGCACCGCGTGTGGGTCACGGGGGAGGAGGACGAGCTGCTGGGGGTGGTTTCACTCACTGACGTTATCTCGGCTTGCAGACGGGCGGGTGGACAGCGGTAGGATGGGGCCAATAGGTGTTGGAGGAGAAGGCATGAGTGGTGGTGATGGCGCTGGCAGTGCGTGTGGGTCACTGGGGAGGAGGTCGAGCTGAAGGGAGTTGTGTCACCGACCGATGTCATCTCGGCTTGCAGACGGGCATGCAGCAGGGCGGCAGGGAGGAGGGATTCCGGGGGAGATGAAACCGGGCCTTGGGAGATCCTCCCCTTCTCTGGAATAGACAGAGTGGAGTGGCTGGTGGGGGCGGTGGAAGGGTGGGAATACCGTACTGGTGGTTGGTGGGAAGGCACGAGTGCTGCTGACCAGCTGCTGGTACATGGAAGCTCAAAGTACCCTGAGAGTTGCGATGCTTGCTGACGTTTTTGTGGCATGCAGGAGGGCGGCGGATGGAGAGGAGAGGGTGGTACCGTAGCAGCGGCACAGCACATTGATGGGAAGGTGGAACATGCTATTCGTTTCACTTGGCAACATCAGATGGGATAGGACTGTGCTGTACATCTTCCAGACGAACCTGAAATGTACCTTACCTTCAGAAATGTTCCAAGTTCATTTGTTGCCAGTACGGTATGGTGGCATCACCAGTACCGTACGTAGAGATGTCTGCATAGCATGAGTGGAGCAAAATTTCTGCCAACTTTACGTATGAGCTTTGCCTGTTTACTTCACATGGAGCTACCGTATCAGTATGGCATGGCAATGACAATTACGGTAACTGAATGACATCATCATCATCAGAAACTACGGTACTGGGGAAGAAGCAATGAGTATGAAGAGACAGAAGGCATCAACAGACAGCGCTAGAGTTGTCTTGTAAGACAAGCATCAACTGTGAGGCAATGTGAGATACGGTACGTATGTAAGCAGAGACGTCCGACTTATCAAACAGCCCAAAGTTCATAAAATGCTTTCACATGAAATGTTTTCGTTATGCACTCGAACCATCACACACGTCATGTCTCAAAGTGCGCCTTCGTTGTTATCCGTCAGACTCAGCGCAGGTGGCAACAGCAACAGCAGCAGCAGCAGCAGCAGCAGAGGCGGCGGCAGCAGCAGCAGCAGCAGCAGCAGCAGCAGCAGCAGCAGCAGCAGCAGCAGCAGCAGCAGCAGCAGCAGCAGCAGCAGCAGCAGCAGCAGCAGCAGCAGCAGCAGCAGCAGCAGCAGCAGCAGCAGCAGCAGCAGCAGCAGCAGCAGCAGCAGCAGCAGCAGCAGCAGCAGCAGCAGCAGCAGCAGCAGCAGCAGCAGCAGCAGCAGCAGCAGCAGCAGCAGCAGCAGCAGCAGCAGCAGCAGCAGCAGCAGCAGCAGCAGCAGCAGCAGCAGCAGCAGCAGCAGCAGCAGCAGCAGCAGCAGCAGCAGCAGCAGCAGCAGCAGCAGCAGCAGCAGCAGCAGCAGCAGCAGCAGCAGCAGCAGCAGCAGCAGCAGCAGCAGCAGCAGCAGCAGCAGCAGCAGCAGCAGCAGCAGCAGCAGCAGCAGCAGCAGCAGCAGCAGCAGCAGCAGCAGCAGCAGCAGCAGCAGCAGCAGCAGCAGAAGAAGAATCTGTAGGTTCTTCAAACGCTGTGAGTGCTGTGATGTCAGCGCTGCAGAGCAGATGATGCATGTTGCAAGGAGTTCGAAGCAGCAGCATGCTCATCCCTTGCTGGGCACAGGGAGCTATAGTACGATTGCAGGAAGGGGAAGGGAGTCGGTTTCACCGTTGGCAGCAGCACGAGTTTCATCTGCAACAGTAGCACGAGTTGCAGCAGCAGCAGCAGAAGCACGATTTGCAACAGTGGCGCGACTTGAAGCAGCAGCAGCAACAGCACGATTTGCACGGGCAGCAGTAGCACGAGCAGCAGCAACCACTGTAGCACGAGTTGCATGCGCAGCAGTAGCACTGGTTCCAGCAGCAACAGCAGCACGAGTTTGGGCAGAAGCAGTAGCACGAGTAGCAGCAGCAGCAGCAGCAGCAGCAACAGAAGGAGTAGCACGCGTTGCACGGGAAGCAGGAGCACGCGCAGCAGCAGCGACACGATTTGCACGGGCAGCAGCAGCATGTGCAGCAGCAACAGCAGTACCGCGATTTGTAGCAGCAGCACGAGTTGCAGCAGGAGCAGCAGTAGCACGATTTGCAGCAGCAGCAGTAGTAGTAGCACGATTTGCAGCAGCAGCAGCAGTAGTAGCACGATTTGCAGCAGAAGTCGCACGAGTTGCAGCATTCACACGAATTGCACGAGCCGCAGCAGCAGGAGGGGTAACGTGAGTTGCACCCGCAGCAGTAGCATGAGCGGCAGTAGCAACAGCAGGGACACGAGTTGCACCAGCACGAGCAACAAGGGTGGCAGCAGCAGCAAGAGCAGCAGCAGGAGCAGAAAGAGGAGCAGCAGCAGGAGCAGCAGGAGGAGCAGCAGGAGGAGCAGCAGGAGGAGCAGCAGGAGAAGCAGGGGGAGCAGCAGGAGCAGCAGCAGCAGGAGGAGGAGGAGCAGCAGCAGCAGCAGCAGCAGGATCAGCAGTAGGAGCGGCACTTTCTTCTGCAGCTGGTGGTCCATCCATGAGGGATCTGTCACGACGGCTCTGGCTCCAAAAAGTAGAAACAGTAAGGGTGCAATAAGAAAATGAGATTGGTAGGGTGCTGGATCAAGACCATTGTGTGGTCAAATGTACGAATTAAGAAACAAAGCATTCACATTTCAAAAACAACTAGCAGTAGAAATGCCCAAGAAAGAGCATTAGCAATGAGGGGTTCATACATCCTGGGTGATGCTACTGCAGAAGCGTGCAACAACAAGAACAACTATTGATTATTAACTGCAAGAGAATTCTCGGCTCCACGTGAAGTTTACTTGACAAATAACAACAAGAACCACGTCACAACAAACCAGGCTGGCAGCTAAGTGGGAAAGAGATCACCTCGATGACGACGTGTCCGATAACAGGTTCCGTGCGTAACACGGCCACAGCACGATTCCACAGTTCTTCTGCATTTGTCTCGCCTTCCGCCTCCAAGCTCACCACAATCTCCAGCTCTTCCGGAACAACATCCTCCATAGGATATGGTCCCGCGCGAATTATCCTCCTCATTCCGTAAAGATGACCCTAAAGGGACAATCATTGCAATAACGAAACGCACTTATTCCAACCCCAATGCAATGATTAAAGTTTATCAGGACAAGGACCGCATAGAGAGAGTACGAGAGAGCAATAGAGAGGGGGTGGTTGCATGCACCTTGGTGCAGTAGTATTGAACGCACGTAGGAAGACTGAGAACAATCTTCGTGTCATTATTGAAATAGAAGATGGACCTTAAATGCGAATTTTCCTCTTGATGACCTATGGTAACCTGCCAAATACATGACTCAGTCACTCATAGTTGCATAGAGGTAAAAGGAAAAAACATGGTATAAAAAAGTTATATAACGACTCGTACATCTTGCGGAAAGCGCATTTTGCTTTCACAACCTTCCCAGGTTCTGGATTTTATTCAAGGGAAGAAATGCTATGCTCAGAAACTCACTTGGGAGTCGCAAAACGGACAAGATTCGCCTTCTACAAAGGAGTTGCCTGAATAGGTAGACATCCTGTTGGAACGTTCAAGTGAGCAATGCTGGTTGTGACAAAGAGCATGGACGGAAAATTGAAGATAAATATATAGAGGTATGGCTATAAATTGGCGTGGTGCCATGCCAGGGCTCAAAACTGACCCCAGACTCAAATGCCAAAAACTTCGTGACACACTTACCGTGAGCTTACGAAATCACTCGAAAATGCTTGCATGATTTGTATGTCCAGGTCGTCGAGCACTCCCTCAGTTTCCCCGCACATGCAAGCATCTGATAGCACAAACTGGCAACCGTCGATCAGGCTTCGCACAATGCTTGGAGAGCGGAGGTGCGGTCCGCCAAGAGCGTCCTCTTCCGCGTCAGGCAGGGCTTGCCAATCATCAGAAGCCATGTTGTCACCGTCGTTGCCATTCTCATCCCGCCATGGTTTGCATTTCCTCCCTCGCAACAGTGCGCGTCTGACACCCGGACACCAGTTCAACCACTTTCCAAACGATTTGATATCATCGCTTTCCAGAGCGTTCACCATTTGCTGAAAACTCTCAAGATCGAACGAGTCATCGTTATCTCTGATTTCGACTGTTCTAGCCAGCTGGTCACGGCAGTGCCAATACCACAGCTGCGTGTCCGCCATCCGTCTGAACTTGTTTGACAGACTCGCGAGTCGAGCAATGAGTGGTCCCGTCGGTTGAGCGCGCTCGAGAATGTCGTAAACGAGTTCAGCGGGAAGAAGTTCCATGGTGCTTGAATGTATCCAACAAACAGGTTCTGGGCTGAGGATGAACGAAATGCTGCTGATGCACGGAAAAGGCTGAGCCTCAAGTTGAGGAGAGTGTTCTCCTGCCAAAAATGAGAGGAATACTGTGCCTGACAGTGAGTCCGACAGGGCATTGTCCCCATCGCCAGGGAGTTACCATAGCTCCGACAATACCTAGGTGGCGATCGTCTAGAAGTGCGAACGAGATGGCGTTTTCTTGGGCCATTGAAATTTTCGATGCGCGAGTAGTGACCTCGATGGTATACTCGGGGGAAAACTAATCTCGATGCTTGAACCAAGGAGAACTAGAGATAAGAATCAGAAATACCTAATCCCGATGCGTGATGTAGGAGGGAAATGGTGCCGCGAAACCTTCTTCCCACGGGAGATTGAAAACTACATTCGCGAAGGCAGCACCTTGGTAGGAACTCGGGCCGTATGGCTTGAGCGAAGTGGCTGGCGAAAAATCATGACACACAAGTGTTATGCCAGAATTTCGGATTTGACCCTAAAGTAACCCGTTGTACATGATCAGTCATAATCCCTTCTACTACCAGAAAAACTCCACCTCTTTCGGTGTCATTGTCAACACCCTTGCCCTTGGCCAATGCATCAGCCTGCTCTTTGACATGGTTTCTGCAGAGTGCAGCGTACCACATGGCCACTTTGTTTCTCATGATTCAACCAATTAGAATGGCTCAGCGTTGACGTCACGTCACAGAGAGCATACGATTCCTCAGAGTTGCGAAAAGGAGTAATAACGTTACGGTAATTCCAGGGACATAATGACATACGCATCCTCCTTCTAATTCAGCTCTCTTGCAAAGCTACGCGTCGCATCAACCATCTCCAGTATTTGCTCCTCAATCTGACCACACATTCAGAAATCACCTCTTGTCTTTCCTGTGCAAGCATGCCATCGCTCCCCTCCTCCCTCCACCATCTGTCCGCTCATCCACCTTTATCCACACGTCCTCTGCCCCAACACACACCCACCGGCCTGGCCCACCATCCACACACTGCCCTTCCCCATCACCGTCACCAGCAGCTGTCGCCACCGAACCATCCAATCCAGGTGGCACAAATTCCTGCCCCACTGGACCCTCCCCCACCTGCCCTTGCACCGAAGCTCCCTGCACCGCCAGGTGTGCCAGCACAAAGTGGTGTAGCGACGGGGCTGCACCCGCATCCACTGCAACACCATCCTCCCCCTCCCACCGCACCTCATCCTCCCATACCACTGCTTCTCCTGCTTTTCCTACTCCTTCCGCTTCTCCGTCCCCACACAACTCCCCATCTCTACCCCCCATCCCAGCCACTGCAAGTGCATCCACCACTCGTTGTGACATCTCAGCAGCTGAAGTGTCATCTCCCACACACCCTGCTTGTGCTGCCACCTGCGACTCTCCCCCTCCCCTCTCATCCCTAGCATCACCCAATCCTAGCCCCTCCATGCGTCTGCATACACCTCCAATTATACCCCCTGGCCCACTGCTTCCTCTCCCTTCCAAACCTATCAGGTACGGCAGCAACAGCTCTGGGGTTGCGTCCAGCGGTTCCGAACCAAGAGCTGGGTAGACTGCCAAGCCTGGCCCAGAGGTTCGGGTGAAATGCTCCTCGTCAAGAGCGACTATCCGAGGCACGACTGCAGCATTGAGAAACACGGTGTGGGTGGTGGTATAGGTGGTGGCAAGGCTGACGGCATTGGAGCTAGCATGGGTGGTGGAGGGGGCAGCAAGAAGCATGCTACCCGCAGCAGAGACAGAAATCGCAGATTGTGCAGGGACAGCAGGCCGTGCAGCAGGCTGAGTTGCAGCGGCTAGAAGGGAGGCAGAAGAGGGGAGAGGCTGCGAGGCGGGGTGCAGCAGCACTGCTGCCATGCGACGCTGGGAGACAGCCTCCCCTTGCCGTGTGGTGCGCGAGCGGTAGTTGAATGGGAAGAGGTCGCGGTGCATGTGGCCAAACACCACCAGTGGGATGTGCCGCCCGCCCTCCAGCGATGCTGTGATTGCCCTGGATAGATCTGGGGGGAAGATGTGCGTGGAGGGGCGAGAGGAAGAGAGTGGTCGAAGGATGAGAGCGCATGTGCATGTGTATGTCCATGTGCATGTGCATGCGCATGTGCAAGTGCAAGTGCATTAGGTTGAAGGAACAGGGATGGCCTGATACAAGCAGGGGGTGTACACCTGCCAGCCACAGGCACTGAAATGGCTCGTAAGAAGGGTGCTTGCTTGGGGAGGAGGTGTGTCAAAGGATCTCCCATGGTGTGTGCGACACCCTCTCTCATCACCTTATGCCGCCATCCTCATCCCCTCACCTCACCTTCATCCCCAAAGTCTCCTCCTGGCGGCAGCCCCTTGGAGGGGAAGTCCTTGCCACAGATGTCCCACGGGTGCGACCCCAGGCCTGGGAAGAAGGGGTGCAGGGTGGGGGAGACGGAAAACAAGGGGAAAGAGGTGATTGAAAATAGGGAAAGGCGAATGAGGCTCCTAAGGCAATCCCTTGGACGGGAAGTCCTTGCCGCAGATGTCCCACGGCCTGGGAAGAGGGGGGGCAGGGCTGGGCAGACTGAAAAAAGGGAACGAGGCATTTAAAGGCAAGGGACAATCTCAAACGCCATGGCACCACATGCCATGGCGCCACATGCCATGGCACCTCATGCCATGGCACCTCATGCCATGGCACCACACGCCATGGCACCACATGCCATGGCACCACACGCCATGGCACCACATGCCATGGCACCACACACCATGGCACCACATGCCATGGCACCGCATGCCATGGCACCACACACCATGGCACCACATGCCATGGCACCGCATGCTCTCCAGGCTGCACAACCGGTGTGAGTCCAGCAGTGAGCAACAATGCTGGGAGATGCCTGGTAAGGTACTGCTCCACCTCCATCACAACCCCTCTCACCTGCGGGCCCGTTGTGTGCGAGGACGACAATGCTGTGTGACTCGGGTGCTGCTAGGATGTTCTCTGTGATCTTTGACGTGCTGGCATTTATGGTGCGCACTCCACACCTGATGGCACGTGGGGATGGATGGATGGATGAAGTTATGTGTGAGCAAGCAATTGACGCGTGGGTGCTTCTAATCATGTGTACTCTATTGAATGGCGAAAACAGCCACAAGCGGGTATACCTACCAGCAACGATTCCGGAAATTACATCTTCCCTTTCTTCCACAATGCAACCTCTCTGTAGTAGCCTGCACCTGCCACTGCAGCATTGCTGCTCCTGCGATCCCCGCGAGAGAGCCCCACCTGGCACGGTAGAGCCACATCACCCCCAACGGTCCCACCTGGCGCGGTAGAAGCTCTTAGCCCAGCTGGAGGGGCCGTAGGAGAAGGGGCGAGCTCCCACGATGGACAGGCGCCACTGGGGGAGGTCCACCCGCCCGTACCCCACGTGCAGCCTGCCTAGGCTGGAGGGTGGGAGGGACGTGGTAAAGAGGGAATGATGGGACAAGGAGAGGAAAATACGCAGTAATTACGGTGATGGAGAGGTGCCACTGGGGTACCACCCTGCCGTACCCCACGTGCAGGCTGCCCAGGCTGGTGGGTCATGGGGAAGGAACAATGGAGAAGAGAAAAGGTGTAGGGAAATGGAGAGCGTATGACGGGAGGTGGAGGAAATGAGCAGATGACGTGGGATGACAGCGTGTGGAAGTCAGGAGAAGAAAGAACGGGGTTAAAGAAGAGAAAGAGAATCAGGGGATTCGCGTTGGTGCAGGTGGAGCAGGCAAACGCAAGGCAAACATGCATAGCATTCTATAAGCTAATCATTCGATACACGTAACGAAGAACAGAAGCAGGTGAATGGGATGTGGTGGCAGGAGTTCAAGAGTTTCACGAGTGAGAGCAGGACCATGAGAGGTGAGGGGGAGGCGGAGGGAGAGGAGGAGGGATTGGCGGGAAGGAGAGCATACGCTTCAAGCTGCTGAGTGAGCTTATCCACTGTGTCTACCAGTTGCGCACTCTCCTTCCTACCCTCCATCCACACAGGACCACACGAACATATCGGGCAAAAAGGATGAACAAATGAGGAACATGTGGAGCGCGCGCTTATCCACTGTGTGCATCAGTGGCGCACTGACCTTCCTGCACTCCACACAGAGCCGCAGGAAACAGTCGATACAAGCTGACAAGCTGACAATGCATGGCAAAGGACGCAGGACGCGTCTTCTGCCACACAGTGGCAAAGGATGCACATGCTGCATGCACACTTATCCACTGGGCCCACCAATGGCGTACTGCCCTCCCTGCAGCGATGAACGAGAGATACGATGCTTAACAAGGAGTCGGTCAGCATGGTGATACATGGAGCCATGACTAATGCTGCACGGCATAATTGTAAGTCGTGACGACTGCTCATGTGACATGTTGCATGTCTGTCCATGTTGGTACCACCTGAGCTCAAGAGCAGCACCTGAACATGTGGGGACAAGCACCTACACACCTGAAAGTACCTGAACAGATGGAACCACCTGAAAACACACCTGAAAAAAAAAATGAAATCACCTGAACATGTGGAACCAGGCGTCATGGTTGCCGAGAATGACTGCCACCTCCGCATGTGCTCCCACAGCAGCCATCCTCTCTTTCACTGCTGCCACCTGCCGCACCAGCTGCACCTGCTCCTCTCCAAAGTCCCCTGCACATGGTTGGTTGAGAGCGTAGGGTGGTGCAAGGGCGTACACAAGATGATGGTTTTCTAGGCGCCCTTGCACCACCATACGCTCGTCATAAAGTTGGTCATCAAAGTCCCCTCCCCTGCACCCTTGGGCCCAGGATGGTCCGTGCACGGGAAGGCGTACACATGGTGACGTGCTTTTGCATCCACATCTCAGCTTGTTGCGTGCATGTACGTACACACACTGCACAGTGCCACAGTCGAATGCTTTTCTATGATTCTTATTGCACCAGATTAGCCTACGACCAGTGGAAGCACAAGCAAATCGGAAGTTGCGACTGTGGTGGCAACAGAGGGCATGGGAGCAGAGGGTGGAAAACGAGAGACGGAGACTTATCAGGGGGAGAATGGGGAAGACTCACGGGGGGATGAAATGAAAGGTAGGCGGGCAAGCAAGGGACGGAAGGAGCAAGCACGCACCGACAAAGAGAATGATGTCTGGCTGGCTCCAGGCCCACGGGGGAATTGTGGTGAGCGACCGTGACCATACGGGAGGATCGTGGAGAGTATGGCAGGGGCGGAGACGAGGGGAGTGAGGGGGGGTGCGGGAGGAGGGTAATGAGCAACGAGGGGATTTGAACGAGGCGAGATGCCACGCGATGCGGCAACGGGACAGGCTTTTGAAAGTTGCAAAAGAACGAAGAATGGAGAGGGGAGGAAGCAGTGACGTGGGAGTGAGACATGGGCGAGTGGGGGAGGGATGGCGGACGAGGGTGATAAAAAGGCAGGAGGGGGTGAGAGGAAGGAAGGAGATGCAGTTAGTATGAAGGTAACAGCTAGTGAACGTCAATTGCGAGCATGCGACACGATAGTTGGCCTGGATAAGTGGAGTGCTTTGGAGGTGGTGATCATGTGACCGTTTACAGGCTCAATTCTGGAGGGCCAAGCCAATGCTGCTAATGTTAGTGAACGCTTGAACATGGCTGGTGTGTGTGTGGCACAGCATTGCCACTTCAAGAACGTGGTGAGACGAAACGACTAACTAAGGTGCCTCAAAAGGCGTAACCGAGCAAACGAGCATCACCTTGAGGAGCTTCAAAGAAGCCAGGTCCCTCCACGGATGCCACATGCCGTGCTGCGATTGGCGAAGGAGGAAAATAGGTGAGAAAGCAGAGCCACATGCTGGGGTTGACGTCATCAAGATGCATGTAACGAATGGTGTTCTTAACATGAAATCTGGAATTACGACGAAGGTTCATCGATTGTCATAGGGGGGTAAGGGGGGAGAAAAGCGCAATTCACTAGACTGTAACTGAAACCTGAAAAAAGCTTGTACCAAAGACGGCTACAGTGAGGCTCGGCCATGATAGTGAGCCTTGACATTCATCACTGTCCTACTAGCTACACATACACGATGCGGGGTGTATCTCGTGTTGCCATGTGGCAGAGGCCCCGCTCCCGTACCCACCAACCACTATCAACCCCGCAGCGACTGCTGCTGTCAGCTCACCATCCCCTACAGTCAGCTACTACCGCATTTTCCTAAACTCATAAATTCACCACATCTCGTTTAGGCTATAATCACCAACTCACCTCATCACTTATAAATACCAACTCACCACGTCGCCTATAATCACAATTCGAAGCCTCTCACAGCTCCTCGGACCGCCCCCTGAAGTCCCAATGGCTCCAGTCGCCGTGATTCCCGCTTCCCCTGTCCGCATTTGCCGTCCATCCACATCAGCATCCACCCTAGTTCGTGACAGGCAATCGCCCCCCATCGCACTTGACGACACGAATGCCGCTGCGGCAGTCGCAGGTTCATGTAACACTGACCTGCCTTCGCCTGTCGCTAAAGGTCGCGGATTAGTCCCTCGCAAAGAAGCTAATGTGGGAAAAGAGAAGGAACGGAAATTGCGCTGCAAGCAGGAAAAGCAGTGACCGCCAAAATAACCGGAGATACCTTGAAGCCGAAACAATTTATGACACGATTGGATTTTTAACTGAACGTTAAATAAGTTGAGCCTATCGCTAGGCACGGTGCGAGCAACGGCAGAGCTTATTCGCGGCCAACTAGTAGCGTGTGCAGAATTCTGTAATCGCAGGGATCGCAAGGGTTCGAAAACGGCAGGTAACATCGCCCGAAAGCGCTGGTGCTGACCGGGACTGCAGCGATCCTGTGCGACAAGTTGCCGAGTGTGGCGTGAGCAGGTATTCACGGGGGTTTAGGAGATTAAGGGACAGCTTGAGGCGTGTCGGATACGCTATTTGTCCCGCCTGGCAGTACACTACGATCGTGAGTCATCATTCTGGAAAGCTCTTTTATTTCTAGTAGTTTTAATGCTTTCGTATACAATTGAAAGTACGACATAAATGAATTAGCTACCGAAGTAATCTGCCCGACGGCCTAAAGAATTAGCGGGGTCGACTAAGTCGAGGATAAAACGCAGGGGAAGGCTTTGGTGAAAAATCTATTGGCAAAATATGCGAAAGAGTTACTGAGTAATGAAAGAATTGAACCAGAATTGGTTGATATGAGGGAATACAAGCAAGGTCGATATAGCATGCAAGAGCGAATGTCGGAAAGTGTCAAATGTTATATCTGCTGTAGTTTGTTTAGGCTGCAGTGGGGTAGTTACTATGGGGTACAGTAAGTTTAGGGTTTCATACTTGTACCCAACCCTCTTGCTAGTCCAAACACTCTTGTTCATTCTGACATGGTATCACGAGCCTAGGTTAGCCACCTAGGACCGCTTACTACTACGGGCCCACTATTCCGCTAGACGCGCCCTCGTGCGCCCTACCTTACGTGCGCCCTCGTGCGCCTTTCTCTGCTCGTGCGCCCTCGTGCGCCTTCTCTCAACTAGTGCGCTCTCATGCGCCTCGCCCTTCGTTCTGCCCGCGCACAGCTCGCTAGTCGCCCACGCAGTTCGTACCGGCCTCGCGTGGCCCCTCGAGCCGCCCGCGACCTGCCTGCACGTAGGCAGCCGCCCGTAGGCTGCCCGTCGCCCGCCGCCGCCCCTAGGCAGCCGCCACCTGTATGCCGGCCGTGCGCTGCCCGTAGGCCGCCCGTACGCCGCCTGTAGGCCGACGCTCGCACGTAGGCCGTAACCCGCGCGCCGCGGCTGCTGCACGCCGGCGACTGCAGCCCGCCGGGACCCGCGCGTCGCCCCCGACTCTTCGCGACGCTCTGGCAGGACCCGCGCGTCGCCCCCTGCCTCTTCGCGACGCTCTGGCGGGACCTGCACGTCGCCCCCTGCCTCTTCGCGACGCTCTGGCGGGACCCGCGCGTTGCCCCCTGCCTCTTCGCGACGCCTCTGCGGGACCCACGCGTCCCCCCCCCCCCCCCCCCCCGCCTCGTCGCGACGCCCCTGCGGGACCCGCGCGGCGTCGCCCCTGCCTCTTCGCGACGCCCCTGCGGGACCCGCGAGGCGCGGCTCCTGCGCGTTGCGCCGCCCCAGCGGGACCCGGGCGTCGCCCCCGCTCGTCGCGACGCCCCTGCGGGGCCCGCGCGGCGTCGCCCTGCCCGCCGCGTCGCCCTGCCCTACCCCACGCCCACCCTTTGGACGGCCGCCCCTGCCTCGCCCTGCAGCAGCTGCCTTACCGGCCCTGCCCCACCCTGCAGCAGCTGCCGTCGCGCACTGCCCCGCCCTGCAGCAGCTGCCGTCGCGGCCCCGCCCCACCCTCCAGCAGCGGCCGTCGCGGCCCTGTCCCTGCCCTGCACCAGCTACCGTTGCGGCCCGGTCCCGCCCTGCAGCACCTAGCCGCAGTCGTCGCCCCGCCCTGCAGCAGCTGCTGCGGAGCTCCCTGCCACGGTCGCGGCCCCGACCTGCCGCTGTAGCGGCCTCGCAGTCGCCTCCGTCGAGCGCCTGCCCTTCCCACCACTGGTGAGCACTGCTCTGCCTGCGCTGCTACCGCTACTGCTGCTCCTGCTGCTACTGCTACTGCTGCTCCTGGCGTGGCCAGATGCAGCTCCAGGGCCGTCCGCGTGTGTCCCTCACGCCCCAGCAGCTTCGTGAGTGGTACGCCACTTGGGGTTGTCGGGGTGGGCGTAGTGGGGGTCGTCCTGGCGTGGGTAGTTCGGGAGCTTCTTGTAGTGGCCCGGTGCAGCAGCAGTGTCGTTCGCGCGAGCCTCTTTCGCCCCGGCAGCTTCATGAGCGGTACGCTCATAGTAGAGGGTCACTGAGTACTGCTCGCTGCCCGTACGTCATTCGCACGGGTGTCCGGACTGGTCAGCCTTGCGGGACGCTTGGTCACACAGAGTCCCGCTGCTTCGCCCGTCTGAGCGACGCTTGGCGTACAGCGTTCGGCGACGACGCTGAGCTCCCCGACTGGGTGGAGCTACTTAGGCAGAGGGTAGATGTCTTTGCTCTTGACTATGATGCTATTCTCACTGCAATGTATGCATTGTCTATTAGTGTTGGGGGTGACTGTTACTTGTGTGTGCCACCAGACCCAGGCATTGCGACCAGTGAGGCTGCCGCTCTAGGTGCTAGTACGTCTGTTGCCCTAGGTGCTGGTGAGGCTGCTACTCTAGGTGCGGGTGTATCTGCTGCTTCAGGTGCTTGTGAGTCTGCGCTTTCAGGTACTACGTCTACTGCGGCACTGCACACCTTCACACTGGACTCAGGTGCTTCCCGCTGTTTCTTTCGCGACCGCACTGCCCTAGAGCAGCTCCCTAGACCGGTTGCTGTCTCCCTGGCTGACCCCTCCGGGGGTCCGGTCCTTGCGACCTCCACCACTGCCCTCCCTTGTCCTGCGGTCCCGTCTGGCACCCTGTCAGGTCTTTACCTCCCCTCGTTCTCTACGAACTTGGTGGCGGGCTCTGCTCTACAGGACGGGGGTGTTCACCAGTTCACCCCTGCCTATGAGCGTGTGACCCACTGTACGTGTGCTCGGACGGGTCGCCACCTGGCTACCTTCACTCGGCAGCCGGGGTCGGACTTGTACACACTGACCACTGAGTCCCCTCAGGTCGCTGCGTCTGCGTCAGGTCAGCTGTCGGCCCCCTGCTTGTGTCGCTCCTTGTCACACCAGACTGTTCTCTGGCACCACCGCCTTGGTCACCCGTCAGTGCAGCGCCTTCGCGGCATGCACCGTCGCCTCCTTGTCTCTGGTCTTCCCAGGGTTCTCCCTCCCCTCCCACCCTCGCCTGCTCCTCCCTGTCTTCCCTGTGTCGAGGGGCGGTAGCGCGCCGCTCCTCACTCCTCCGAGTTTCCCCCGACAGAGGCTCCTCTGCAGACACTCCACATGGACGTGTGGGGCCCCGCCCGCGTCCGTGGACAGGGCGGGGAGCGCTACTTTCTGCTGGTAGTTGACGACTACACGCGTTACACCACGGTCTTCCCCTTGCGCACTAAGGGTGAGGTCCCTGATGTCTTGATCCCTTGGATCCGCGCTACCCGTCTCCAGCTGGAGAGGCGCTTTCGCTCGGACCTTCCAGTCCTGCGACTGCACTCTGATAGAGGTGGTGAGTTTTCCTCCGACCTCTTGAGAGCCTTCTGTCAGGGGGAGGGCATTGAGCAGACGTTCACGCTTCCGGCCTCTCCGCAGCAGAATGGGGTTGCTGAGCGCCGCATTGGCCTGGTCATGGAGGTCGCTCGTACCTCCTTGGTCCATGCGGCTGCCCCCCATTTTCTGTGGCCGTTTGCGGTCCGGTACGCCGCACATCAGCTCAACCTCTGGCCCCGTGTCTCCGATCCGGACACCTCGCCGACACTGCGTTGGACGGGAGAGGTTGGCGATGCGTCGGTGTTCCGAGTCTGGGGATCTCGTGCCTTTGTCCGCGATGCGTCCGCGGACAAGCTCTCCTCCCGTACCCTCCCCTGTGTCTTCCTTGGCTTTGTCCCTGACGCGTCTGGCTGGCAGTTTTACCACCCTGCCTCGCGCCGTGTCTTCCCCTCTCAGGACGTCACGTTTGACGAGTCGGTCCCCTTCTACCGTCTCTTCCCCTACCGCACTGCCCCGCTCCCCCCTCCGCCGCTCTTCCTCACTCCAGGTGCTGCTGTGGTAGACCCCCTGCCTCCCCAGGGTCCTACGCCCTCAGGTGTTTCCCAGGTAGACCCGGTCGAGCCTGTCGAGGTAGCTGTCGACTCTGGTCCTGCGCGAGGTACTGAGCCTGAGCGTGCCGAGCCTGGTGGTGCTGGGTCTGGTGGTACCGAGACTGGGGGTGCTGAGCCTGGGGGTGCGGAGACTGGGGGTGCTGAGCCTGGGGGTGCTGACACTGGGGGTGCTGAGCCTGGGGGTGCTGACACTGGGGGTGCTGAGCCTGGGGGTACTGAGCCTGGAGGGACTGTGACTGGGGGTGCTGAGCCTGCGGGTACTGAGCCTGGGGTTCCTGAGCCTCGGGGTGCTGCGTATGACCGTGCTAAGCATGGAGGCGCTCTCTCTTCCTCGGAGCTGCGTGAGTGGTACCGGTACTGCCGCCGCCGCAGTGGTGCTGTGGGAGCTGGGAGTTCTGCTGGCGCTGGAGCTGAGGGCGCTGGAGCTACTGGTGCTGGTGTGGCTGCCGACCTTGGAGTTGGCGCTGGAGGTGCTAGAGCTGCTGGGCCTGGAGGTGCTGCTGGAGCTCCTGGGGGCGCTCCTGGTACTGGAGCTAGCGGTTCTGCGGGGACTGGAGCTAGAGGTGCAGGTGCTGCCGGTGCTCCTGGGGGTACTGGAGTTGGCGCTGCTGGAGCTGGTGGTGCTGCAGGAGTTGGAGCTGACGCTGGGGGCACTAGTGCTGCTGGAGGCACTGGTGCTGCTGGAGGAGCTGGTGCTGCTGGAGGCGCTGGAGCTGCTGTTGGTGCTGGTGGCACTGCGCAGCCGCGACTGTTCTTCGCTCCG